AATGGGAAAATCCCAGTACATTTATCTTTATATTTATATTCTTCTAATTTTCAAATATCAAATATTTTCTTACAAAATCACTTTGCTGAAGTTAAGACGTGTTTAAGGCAGCAGGTGTGTTGGTGTTGGTTATATTTAGAAGACGATTTGTTGTTTTTAGCAGTTTCCAGCTCTTAGAGAGCTGTACTGGATGTATGTAGCCAATGTTGATTCGCTAATGTGGTATCGACTGACCAATCAGAGCAGACTGAGCTTTCCAGAGACAGGATTTGAAGAGACTGGAGGTAAAACGTTGTTTCAGAGCTCCTGCTGCAGGAAAATCAGCATGTGAAAAAATGCGTTTTTGAACATTAAAAATGTCAAACTGGTAAAATTGTGAAACTTTAACTAAGTGATATATGAGGACTTTATTTAAAAATGAAATGCTGGACATTAAAATCCAAATATGAAGTCAGGTTACAGGAAAGGCTCAATAAATAAATAAATAAATAAATAACAAACACTTAATTTAACCTCTTTGTTTTCTGGGTGGGAGAGTGCAGTATTCCTCTTATTGGCTAATTTAGACTGCTATGTAGCCCACTTCCTCTCTTTCTTTTCTCTTGCTTTGCTTGTTTTATCTTAATGATCCCTTCTTGCCTATTATTCCCTGTTTGGTGTTAAAAAAGAAAAAGAAGTACAGATGTTTCCTCTCACTTCTTGACTTAGCTCGATCCTCTTTTTTGGCTTTTGTTGACTTTCTCATTCTGTTATTCTGTTGTTTACTTTTGCCTTCTCTTCCTTTTTTCTCCATCTTTTCTTTCTGTCTCTGCTGGACTCCTGTCGCAGTGATAAAAAAGCTGGTTGCAGGTATGAACTCCCTCTTGCCTCTTCTTCAGGTTATCTCAATCTGTCTATCACTCAAATTTTTAAACATTTACAAAATGGCTCATCTTTTTTTTTTTTTAATTATTGCTTATACAGTTGTGTGTGTTTTATGTTTGTGTGTGTTTATATTTAAACTTAATACTAGTAAACTAAACAAAGCACCCACTCACATTGCCTGTTAGCATAATCTGTGTCCACACCTGCCTGTTTAAGGCTACAGTCTAGAAGAGCGTGTTAACTGGAAGTAGTAGATTATTAACTGTTTCCTGTCTGCCCCCCTCACCCCCAGAGTCTGGCCCTAGTTTTATTAAGCCTCCTAACTAATGCCCTGTTCTCTGAACAGGTCGTTACTTATTTTAATTAAATGTTTTTGAATGGTTTGTTTCCATGTAGAGGGTCAGCTGGACCACGCGGTGCTTCTGCAGGTCATTAAGGAGCAACAAGAACAACAGAAAAGGCTTCTGGACCAACAGGAAAAACTATTGGCTGTCATAGAAGAACAACACAAGGAAATCCACCAGAAACAACCTGCTGGTGTGTATATACCTTCTTTTTTTTCTTTTTGTAGTCATGACAACTTGTAAAGAAAACACAACTTAAATGTGGCCCATTTAAGTTAAGGGCCACATTTAAGTGGTGGCCCTTAACTTAAATGTAATGTTTTTGCATTTAAAGGGGGCGCTGCTGAAGGCGATGGTGAGAAAGGCATCCAAGGACAACCAGAGATGATGGAAGGTGGAGCAGCAAAACCTAAGGAGTCTGGACTGGAGCAGCCCAAGGAGGGAGCTGGAGCTCCACAGGCTGGAGGAAATGAGGCTCATGCTCTGGCCCAGAATCAAGCTCAGGTTGAAGATAAAGGTGCTGAAGCTAACCCTGCAAAAGTAGCCGTACCAGCAGCTTACAAGGAGGATGCAAATGTTGCACTCGCAGGAGAATCACATAAGGAAAGTGAGGTCGGGGCGAGGGGAGTGCCATTGGGGAAACAAAAACTTGAACCTGTAGCTCAGAATGATCAGTTACCAGAAGAAGAGGCAATTGAAAAACTTAAGAAAGAAATGGTAGGCAAAGAAGATCAGGCAAAACAAGGAAAAGAACGGCTGGAGAGGGAAATGAAGGAGAAGCTAGCCAGGGAAGAGGAGTTAGAGAGGGAAAGATCAGAGAGAGAAAGGATAGAGAAAGAAGTTCAGGCACGATTAGAAAAAGAACGGCTAGAAATGGAGATAAAAGAAAAGGAAAGGCTAGAGGAAGAAAGGATAGAAAAGGAAAGACAGGAAGTGGTGGCCAAACAAGAGTTGGAGAGGGAAAAGATAGAGAAAGAAGTTCGAGAAAGGCTGGAAAAAGAACGACTGGAAAGGGAAATAAAAGAGAATCGGATCAGAGAGCAAGAGCTTGAGAAAGAAAAAGCATTAAAAGAGAAACTTGCACGCGACAAAGCTGCAAAAGAGCGATATGAGCAGGAGCTGCAGAAAGCGGACAATGAAATACTTGATAAAGCAAAGAAAGAGGAGGCATTGCAGGAGGCTCAGGAGAGGCTGCTTCAGCTGCAGCAGGCCATAGAAGCTCAAAATGCTGGAAAAGCTGCACAGGGGGGCAAGATAGATGATGGTGAGGCTTTGAAGAAAGGAGGACGAGACCTCAAAGAGAAAGCTGCTGCTCAGCCAGAACCCGGAGAAGGGGAGGAAGATGGCGAGGTTCACCCCCAGGGCTCCCACGAGAAAGTTAGGAAGCAGGGAGAGATAGATCTGAAGCGGAGGCGTAGGTCACTCGGAGAGGCTAGAGGGCCCCTGGAGGACACTGAGGCGTCCAGGGGGGTTCCAGGGTTGGAGCCCCTGCTGGAGCTGGGGGGGCAAGATCTGCACGCAGCCCTGGAGGGGCAGCTACTGGCTGGGGCAAGGCTACACACACGGCATATTAAACAGGCCTCAGAGGATGAAGAAGCTAAATAACACACACACACATTCTTATTTAGCGGTCAAACACATACTGTAGACCTGCAGAACCTCTAATACTGTGGACCGTGATATTGCTGCCTTACATTCTCTTTTGCCTTCGGAGTTGTTAAGAAGTGGACTGTGTTGTTTTTCTTGATACTGTGTAATCTGCCAGGAAGCCAAAGTCTTTATCAAAGAGCAAAAGTGAATGTAAATATTAACTTATTTTTGTTTCCAGAGAAAATTTTGAAGAGGTCATTGTTTAAAGTGTACATACATCTATGCAATTACCTTTCTGTGGAGTGTTTTTGAAAAGGACGCTATTCGTATTTGAGTCACATGTACTCCTTTTGTTATTCAGTTGTTCCTTGGTCTTTGTAAATGTTGTAAATGCTTTTAAATGTGATCCATGTATTTTCTTATAGAACCCGGTTACCCCAAATTTAATGTACTGTGGCTTCCAGGCCCTTTGATAGTGTTTTTGCTTCATGCTTTCAAAATGAGGTATTTAACTACATGCTGGAGTTTTGAGATATAGAGTAGCCTTACTATTTCCATAAACTGTGGACAGCAGAGCAGCTCGAACCAGACAACCTGGATCAATACCTGTAGTTTCTAATCATTCCATCTTTATTCCTACGGTAGTATTTCTTCCAGGTTGATTTATTAGTGCCTTTCACTTAACATACTACAGCGTATATTTTATTCAAACAATGTGTTTTTTCCCCTCAATATCTGGTCTTTTTCTTCCACTAAATGATCTTATTTGAAGATATAATAATGGAAGGTATTTTGGACTTCTGTATTGTCTTTCATTGCCTAGCACTTCAACATATTGGACCTTTGCTTTATAAAAGAGGCTATTTTTGTGACTATTTTTCTACATGCATGTTATTTCTGTACATTTTGCTGATAAAAATTAATAAAGCTCATATATCGAAACATCAAAGTCAGGGTTTTATTTATTTACACACAGACACACACAGGTTTTCACGTTAAAGACTACGGCAGTTCTTAATGGCTTATCTCAACCACACCAACGTGAAAAACTTCTTAGCATCAAAAGTCAGTCAACTTGGTCTTCTTGAGATTGGTCCAGATAAGCCTGGATGATTTCCATTCATCTGGCTCTTTTTTTGGCCTGTAATAAAATCAAATATATAAATAGGTAAATGGATAACATTAAACAGAACTTTCAGTGTGACAGTTGCTGACACTGGCACTTACTGCATTGGTAAAGCAGATCTTCAGTGCTTCAAACTCTTTGGCACACAGATCCTTCCTCAGCTCCTGTGTGCCTGTTGTGGTAGCAGCTACACACTTTCCATACACTGCTGCCTGAATAACACACAAATTAAAACGTCACATGAAGCACATTTGTCAATGTAATAAATAACTGCATTACTTGGACCAATGTTTTATTAACAAATGTACCCATTTTTATTAACTTAATTTCCACTGTTTTGTTTATTAAGAATTGGCACATTAACTTTATTGCCAAAAATTCACCAGAAGCTAAACCATGCTCTAAAATGTTAACTAGGTAAATCTAGTAATAAAAAATAATAATACAATACAAACAAGTGCTTATGTGTGCTTTAAAGAATAATTAACTGGTAGGTCTTTTTGTAAACTACATCTTGAGATAATAAAGTACATGGCAGCACGTGTATATTGTTAAAAGCTTAAATGAGGAAATATTTTGGATGTCCCCTACTAGGAGCTGCTGTAGAGATGGCAGCTGGCTTTGATGGAAGAGGCAGCTAAGTTTAATCATATCTAATGAGAAGAAGAGAGGTTCCAGAGTTTAACCCGTTCAAAGGATAATCTACCAAGCAGTATTTTTCCACTATGTACTTACCTCGTTCGCACACTGTGCAAAAAGTTCCGGGAAAAGTCTCATTTTCTCCCTAGTGCGACTCCAGACATTTGACCCAGACATGGTGCTGTTCAGGCGTAAATAGATTTGTTTTAATATCTGGTAAATTTTTTAAGTCAACGATTTAAAGAAAAACGAAGCAGCAATATTTTCGTGTCAAATAGTTTTTTAAAATCTCTGACAACTCAAAAGAACCGAAATTATTTTTATCATACAACTAACAGACGGAGCTCCGGTGAAAACCCTGGGCAGCGCCATGTTGACGACTGTTTACGCCCATAAAAAAATCTGAACTATGATTCGTTCATTTCCTTGTCAGAAAAAAACATTTCTGAGGGTTGATTCGTCATGTTCCAACTCCTGGTTTAACCAGAACGCCAATAGAGTCGAGGATTGCTGCTTAGTGTTTTGTTATTGGCTAGCGGTCACCTCAAGCCCCGCCTTTCCATCGTACACCTCGAAGGAAGATGAGTAACCCGCAGCTGGGACTGCTAAATCATGGCAACATTTATGGAACGATTAGCCTTTCTTCAGAAAGTAAGTAATATCGACAGTCGTTATTTTAAAAAAAAAGAACACAGAGAAGCCGAAATGAACATGTTAAATGTCACGTAGCGTTGACGTACTTATTTAAATCTATTAGCTTTTGCGAAACCATAGCTTTCTTTTAGCCTGCTAGCTAACATCCTTAACCAACATCTTTTGGCTTTTTACTTTCTGTTTTTCACTGGACGTGTCAGGTTGTTTCGTTAAAACTTAATGCTGCACACTGGTTTAAGGGTCAGTTTGCGGTCAACTGAAGTGGTAAACCACAATTTCGTCTAACTGTCCAAGGTGCCCACCCTGATGAAGGCTACAGCAGATGATGAAAACCCCTGTCCTGGCTACCTTTTCCAGGAGATTGGAAGTATCCTTTAGCTGCTTCTGCTGTTGATCTGCAAAAAGTTCCTACTCCTGCTGGCCTCTTTTGCATCTTAGAGCTGTATAAGTAGGCTGTGGCCATGACTTTACATAATCACCTTGAGCATGGCTAGGATAGGATAGGTTAAAATGATATTTTTTTGTGTGTGAAGAAAAGGTCTCACGTGGGTTATCAGTCATTTAGCTGTTTATACCAGCTAAACCATGGGAGTAGTAATATCTGTGTGATGAAGTGTTATATCCTTAATTCTAAGCACACTGTAGAAATCTCCCATGAGTCTTCAGGTTGTGGTCAGTGTTTGTTGGAATACCTCCTGGAGAGGCTACAAGTGGAGTCCTGTCATGTCAAACTGAAGGTGAGAGAATTGCTTTTGCTACTGTTTCTGTCTCTTTAAAGGACCTGTACATTGCTGATTGTAGTTTATGAGTAAGTGTGGGTTCTGTTCTTGCTTCTGGTGTATCAGGTGCTGAAGATCTTTGTCCACCTCTGTGGTCATGGGTCCAACCATTTCCTCACAGAACTCAGAAGGAACTCCACCTTCATCCAGCAAGCATCCGGTTAGATTTTTCTCATTTGTGCGTTCAACTTTCATTATTTTGCTGCTGCCATCGTTCATACATATTCACTTTGGGTAATTTTTATTTGATAAGTTTACAGCGGCCCTCCTGATCCCATCCATGGCACAGCATTATATGAGAAAGTGAGGAATACAGCACAGGTACGACATGGGTTGTTTTGTATTTTCATCTCAATATAGTTAGTTACACAGAAAGGGAAGGTGGCTTGAATAAGAACTTTTTTTCTTTGCCGTTCATCCATTTACAGGAAGTGGCCCGCTTACTTTTCACAGATGTCATTCCCTCCAAAAACAGTATCACTTCAACTAACCTTGCCCCCCCTACAATGGGTAAGTGCTAACACACATTGATTATGACCATAAACGGCACTCATCTTTCAAAGATGGGCAGGCGGGCGGGTGACGTGGACACCAAAGTTTGTGAAAGTGATAACTCAAAAATGAATTAGAAAGTATAATTTTCCTGATGAAAGATATAAGCTTTAAAGACTTAAAGACCCAAATATATGTACTACGTCCTGTATGCCAAACTATTGTACATCACTTTGCTACCAGGTTTGACTTTAGCACCATGTAATAAACAAGTAATAGAAGAGAATGGGTATCTGTAGATGGGATGAAAGAAGTAGTCATTAAATTGCATTGTGTGTACAATAGTTAATTTGTTTCATTCTCTTTAGGTATGGGATCGGCCACTTCCCACAGATCAGGAATGCAGGGTTTTGGATACAGTCCAAGAAAGCAGGGGACAGGTGAGGGAAGCCGAGCTGCACAGTAATACAAATCAAACTTACTGTGTGTGTAAATTTCTGGACCTGTGCCTTGCAGCAGGCAGCGACTCACTTCTGGATAAGATTCAGAAAGCAGCTGAGGTGGTGGCGAGCGCTGTCCTTCCCCCTACTGAGCATCAGGGGATCCGTCTCCATGACAACCATTACCGGGCCGTGGTGGCGCCTTCTGCACCCATAGAGGTGGCCGTGCCAGCGTGTGCCTATAATCTGCCTGCTTGTAGACCGAAAGGTCAGAAATGAAGTTGGCACAATTACGCATTTTATTGAGGCAAGATTGAGAAAAAGTATCAACTGAAGCCTTAGTAGCGAACAGATGTTTATAAATTAAGGTTTTCCTCATGTGTCTTCACTTCACCAGTGACTAAGTGGTGTCCGGGGCAGGTAGGAGGTGGCTGGGAAGAGACGGACAGTGGCAACAGCTCCTCTCACAACTCCTCTCAGGACATCGCTGCCAATAGCAGGGCGTCGGTGGGCAGCAAGTCAGCTGGCACAGGAAGCCAATCAGGGGCCAGCAGAGAGAGCAGTGGGGACCTATCAGATCGGTCAGTGTCAAAAAAGTTTAACCTTTTTAACACATCATGCCCTCGAGCCTTTTTTTTTTTTTCCCTTTTTAATGCATTAGCTGAGAGCAAGTACTTGATTTTAAACAGACTTTACCCAATGCCTGTACAGTGACAGTGCATTTAATCTCCTGTTGTGTGACACACGAGAAAAGGAAACATCAGAAAATTGTTCATGTTTGAAGAGGGCTTTAGTTTGTTAAACCAGCTGTTTTTATTCCAGTGCAGTCACATTTAGGAGCTTGTAGCATAATCTCCAAATGTTCTGTGTGCAGTTTGTACAATTTACTGTTTACTGGTCACCTAAGAATAAACCTTTTGCCAGGATTGTCAGTTTTTCTATGCAGTAAGCCATGTTCCTGAGCATTATAAGCCTGTGTTTTCTTTAAGTTTGTTACTTTCCTCTCATACTTTGTGTGGTTTCCAGGGTGGAGGCCTTGCAGCTAGGGGATTGTGGTCAGGAGATGGCACTCATCAATAAACTGACTGAAGGCTCCAAAGTTTTCCTTTCCAGAGAGGAGAGCCAACACTTCATCAAAGAGTCAGTGCACCAAAATCCCATTTAAAAAAAAAACAACAGCCTGGGCTGGTTCTTTTCTACAAGCTGGTTTCTCATTTTTAATTAGTTTTTTAGTAAACTCCTGATTGTATTCAGTTGCCTTTTTTAATATTATTAATTGAGCTATTTTCATCTTATTACACATTTTTGTGCTCCTGCTTTTGTGTTATTTTTATTTAATTCAACTATTTTACTCTATTCTATTTTAAGCTTTTTTATTGGTTGTTTTGGTTTCTGTGATGCAGTAAATTGTTGGGACTTGTGGCACGATTTCAGTCTCTCTCTTTTTTTTTTTTTCTTCTTCTTCTTTTTTTTTTTTTTTTAAACTCTGTCAGGTGCTCCATTCTTAACTGTGAGGTTGTGGTGGAGTTGCTGTCTTGCAAGCTTCAAGATCCTTCCTACACCATTAAGATGGTAACAATGAGAAGACATCGAAAATCAGAATTCTTTGTTTCAACTTTACTCTGATTATAGTGTTGTTTGTCTACTCTTGCAGCGGGTGCTGTGTGCTGTCGCATCCCTGATGACCTCTGACCTCCTCTCTCTGGAACAAATGTTTGGAGCCACACAGCACAGACTTCGCCAGCTGAGCGAGGGCCCTCCAGGACCGGTGGCAAATAAAGCCACCAAGGTAAACGAAGCAGAGGGAGACTACTTTACTACTTAAGGACAAGTAGTAAACCCAATAATACTTATTTGTGCTTTTTATTTCTTTTTCTTTTTTTTTTTATCTGCATATCTCCTCTGACTAGATCTTGCGACAGTTTGAGGCTTTGATGGGCGGATCTCTGCATGCTACCAGGCAGGATGCAGTGAACAGCCATCAGGCAACAGTGAATCAGCTTCACACCTCTAGCAGCAATTTACTGCCAACACACTTGTTTGACAGTTTCAAACTTCAACAGCCGGACACTTCATCTGCAGGTGTCACTCAACCACCAAAGCACCCATCTCCCCCTCCTAGTCAGGATCTGGCTCTGAGCCACGAATTAGCAGAAGATCAGGTCCAACCAGTAAGGACAGGCAAGGTGAGACTGCATGCTGAAGATTCCGAGACTGTTCAAGATAAAAGCACCCTTGCTTCATGTGAACCTCAGAGTAAGCCACACCCCCAGATCAGACTGTCTCTGTTCAGTGGCATGGAGCTGGTGACCAAAGGAAAGCCGCTGTGTAAAAGTGAAACATCACATGAAGAAGTGGAGGATAAAATAGGCGACAGGATAAAAGAGATGGACGCTGTGCATAAGTCCGATTGTTCAGTGAACTCATCTATCACCAGTAAAACCAGTGAGGATGTTCCCTCAGTTTGCAGTTCCTCTGCATCTAATTGCAGCCAGTCAGTATCAGCTTTCTCCTTTCTCAACTTTTGATTGCAGGCAACCGTTTAGAGCTGTTCTACTTTAAACCAATGATGTCATCATGCGTTGATCCTTTTGGAAACCTGTTTAATGTTCCAAACCAAGATCCAACCAGTTAAGTTGTAAGTGGATAGCAGATTCTAATTCAGTTTCTTTTCTTATCTGTGTGCCTCTTCAGAAACTGTTTTTAAACAGCAAATTGGGCCAAGAGTGAGATTTGGGACTCATAAATAGAGCCTGCAGATCATGTCCATCTATGGATGGTTTGTCTTCTTAAAGACAGGTCTTTGTCTGCTGCAAAAGTATTTAATGACTGAAGTTGTCTTGGATAAGAGGTCTTTACTCTGCCTTACAAAGTCACAGGACAATAACTGCAGAAAACATGAAATGAGAGATCTTTGTAACATTTACTTTAGAAAACTTAAGCTGTTTTTCCACCTCCGTATCTTTAATCCAAGACTCTTGTGCAGCTTTGCATGACATTACAGTTCAAAATCACATTTATTTATGTCATACTGGGCCTCAGTGCAGCTCATCAGTTCATCCTCACCGTCAGAAACGAGCTGTCTTTTACTCTTCTGTGCTCATGGCCAGATCTGTGTACCTGAGGTGGTCTCATTAGGGGTATCTGCTCTCACTGATGTCATACAGAGACGGGTAGGAAAAAAATGTTTCGATCAATCTGAAGCCTGAGCTTTTAGTTTACAAGAATTACTTGAGCAAACACTGACCTCATTATTTGAAACTTCCATCTGTTTAAGCAAATAAAAAAACATAATGGGTCCCCTTTCTACATAGTGCAAGGAAAGCACAGCCTTGACATGTGTTAAGCATGAGGGGGGGAAAAGAACTAATGAATAAATACTTCTTTAAAAAAAAAAAGTCATGGTTTATGAAAAGGCTTATTCAATATCTGGAAGGCTGATCAAATAAAAGTCCAAACCAAAGTCTAAGCGAGGCTAGTCTTCAGCAGCACCAGTTTTAGTTCCTGCATCATTTGCAAACAAAAATGCTCCACCCTGCTACTTTTCCATTTTCCCTAAAAATGACACTTCTGTGAAATCATAATGTTTAAATAGTAAAATGACAGATTTAGGCCTAAATTTAAATCTAATAAAGTACGCAGTTACTGTGTTTTGGCTTTGCGGGGCACACTGGTGGTTGCTTTTTCTCAGGATTTCTTTTATGTAACAACTTCCACCTCTGCAGCACGGCCTGAACCTCTGAGGGGGAGAACCTCTGTTTGAAATTTGCACTACAGTCGCTTTTCTTATGAACTCAAATCAAAAGAGAGTTGTCTTCCATTATTTTTGGTACTAAGCTATTAAGTCATTGTAAATGTTCCAAGTGTAAATTTAGAAATTTATTTATTATGTCTGCTCTGTTGACTAAAATGAGACTTGTAGAGTGCATGATTTAAAAAAAAAAAAAAACTTGGGGGAATTAATATTTTTGGGTTATTGTGTGTGCATAACTAATGTCTCGACTGTTTGATCATATGTAAGCAGTCATAAAGGATTTCTCATTTCAGCAAAGGTTTGCCTTCATTGTTTCAGTTACATATTTATTGCAGTGGAATGTAGTTCAAACTACACGCCTAAATCGTAATTCAGTGTAATTGTACTATAATGAACGCCACTGATGTGTTTCAGTTCAGTGAACACAAGCCAAGCTGTTCAACATGCAGGACAATAAAGCATGCTGTATTTTTGTCACAGCACTAACCACTACGCAGTCTTGATGTGATTTGTTTTGTTTTTTTTATCCGACATGTTTGCACACATCACTTTTGGCAACACTTTATTTCAAATGATTCAGGGAAATTACATATGAATCACTTTTACATTTCATTTTATTCCAAACACAGTGTACTGGTCATATTAAACCACCCATAAACAAGTATGGCTGACCGGCTTATGACACACAGATACACAATGTGGAAAATGTGGAACAAGTAAACACTGGGTTCTAAATTATTTTAAAGAGTCTGCTTTTGTTAGAAGCGCTGTGCCGAGCGGAGTGCTGCCTGACCTGCACTTTCCACAGTGCCTTCTTATGGACCTATAATTAGCCAGGGTTTAATCTAAGGTTGGATTTCAGCCAAAAAGTCTATGAGGATCTCTGTTCCATCCTCTTAAACCCACTGCCCAACCACACCTAGACATTTTAGATTCATTTAGCCAGTGACTGCAAAAAGTAGCATGCTCTAACTTTATAGCTTTGGTTAGAAAACAAATAAAGCCTAAAATATTCTTTAATGGATTGTATTGATCGTGCTCCTTAGGAGTGAATCCATTGGCCTTCTCCATATGGGATCACAATAACTCCCACTTCTCTGATGGAAACAAGCGACCGACTGTCCCAGTCAAGAGTAAACAGAAAGACTTACAGAGTAAAGTGCTTAGCTTTATTTAGTTCTGCAAGCACTTTGGATCATCATCATCATCATCACACTTTTCTTGTGATTAGCACCAATGAAAATGTCCACGCATCGACGCACGCATGTAAAGAGAAGGAGACCTCTTCATAAAGTGCACGGGGTGCATGCATACACACACACATACACACAAATCCACACGTACACATCGATACTGCACAGAAAACCACAGTGGCTGGGCCATGGAAAGGCGGATGTGCTTATGATCTTGACAAATGGTACATGTCGAGGTGGGGATGAGCCCAGGATCCATAAACCTCCCCAGTGGGGTTGCAGCTGTATGCTGTTTTCATAATATGTCCTGTGCGATAGTACGACAACTGAAAGTTATCATGCCACGTACATTTCAATCAATAAAAAAATTGTTATTAATAATAATAATGATAAGAACTTTGTAATACCATGATATTTTCAGAGACAGTGAAAATCTCATACTGTTGCAACCCTATTCCCTACACATCATCGCCTTACACCTGACCCCATGGTGTTATTGAGGCTTTCTGGGAGGCACGATCATGCCAGCAGTGTTGACACTGATGGGTGAGGGACAAAATGGTCAGGAGGCAAGGTCGGGCGAGGGCCGGAGGTCACGGTCATGTCGACCCTGGTCGTCCTCTGGTCTGCAGACTGCTGAAGTGCGCCTCCCTCAGGACTCTGTTGATGTAGTCATATGAGACACTTCTTTCGTCACCATGGAAACCGTGCTGCAAGGAGCTGGCAGAGACTTCGGGCTTTGGGCTGACGGGGTCCTGGGTCCTGCAGCTGTTTTGGCTGTGTATGCATGGTCTGGTGGTGGCCACTATTGCTCTCTCTGGACTGCTGATCCCATTGCTGCTGTCACTGCTGGAAGACTGCAAACACAGAACAGAGTTGGAGTCTGAACAGCAGCTTCACAGATGGATGCACAGCCTGTGAATAAAGACTGTCTAAGCTCTTTCTGACAGCGGCGCACTGTATGTGATCCCAAGACACGTGCTCTATCTGCAAAAATGCAGCAAGATTTACATTATAAGGTAAAAGACGTCAACTTTTATAGACAATCAGGAGCAAATCCACAATCTATGTATGTGTCTCACCTCTGAGTCCAAATCTGATACAAGCAATGAGGGACCCCCTCCTGACCTCTTGGCCTGAGGCCTCAGCTGTTGGTCTTCCTCGCTGTCGCAGCTATGGTGCCTTTTCCTGTACAAAACAGCGATGCAAGGAACAGAGAGATTGTGTGACAGAAATGATGCAGGGAGGGGGAGACAGATTGGGCGGAGGAAGCCAAGAGTATCAGAAAGAGAGTACATGACGAGGAACCAAAAATAGCAACACAGGCTGAAGCAGTTATATGAACAGGCATGTGGCACTGGTACTATGAGACCATACAGACTTACACAGCTTTACTGGGGTCTGTATGAAGCTATATTATATGACTAGAACTTGGATGCCTGAAAAATGTGACTTAGTCATAACATTGAATTACAATGACATAATAACTCAGTGTATTTTTCCATATGGTGATGATCCTATAATAAATAATTGTGAAATATTGTGAAAATGTATGTTCTCGTCTTTACCTGCTGTCAGTCAGCATTTCTCCAGTCTTATCGGATGCTTATTTTTGGCAAACAGAAAGGTTGACACTCCTTGTCAGCCGGGTTAAGATGTCTTATTTAAATGCTTTGGCAATGCTGCTCTCTCTCATCTCACTGGGAAGTCCAGGGTGTGTAAAACGAGCTATCTTCAGCCGGCTGAAGAAGCACCGGTAGCCACAGGAAAGCAAAAAAATCTCCGCTCTGCCAGCGTCTCGGCGGGGCCACAAATTTAGCCGAACGAATAAAAGCTAACAAGCAAGTTGCTAGGTATTCTCGTTTACGCTGTGAAATCTCGAGGAGCCCCGGTCATGACAGCAAAGAAGCAAGCTAGCCCGCTAGCTGCTACCTGCTACCGTTTGAGTAGCCACTTATCTAGCTAACTTTAGCTGCACTAACCGAAAGTTCTTCCGCTTTCGTATGACGTCTACTTGCCAATAAGCGTGTTGAATTGTTCTCTTTAGTTTGCAACAGTCCGCTACGAGAAACCAGACCGGCAAGTTTACGATAAATCTGATTTTAATGTCTGCGCTACAATACGTGATACTCCGAAGTCTTTTGGAAGACAATCGCGACTGCGAGCTTTCTTTTTTCTTTAACCCCGCCCCTCTGTTTACATGACGTAAATATAGCTTCCGGTGTGAACAAATAGAAGTGTCGGTTAAGGTATTTTCTCATTATTGTATCCTTCCCTATTGACCCATTTGCCTTATTTGTACTTTTAAGTGTTTTAAGTGTTTTTTTATTGTGTGTCGAACAAAAGTGCAAAAACGCGTTTGCTAACTATTCTTTAGAAAATATCATATAGCATTAAGCTAGCTTGTGAGTTTATATTTACTGTAATGTAATGTAGCTGCTATTAATGTGTGATAATGGTTTTCTCTTCTTCCAGTCTCCGCTATTTAGCTGCTGACAGAACTGGACTGACCTGATATAATTAGCCTACAATTAGTGCATAAGTATTTAGCTTTTATATTCAAGGGGTTTGACAAAAGAGTTAGAATAACTGTTCAGGAAGTACAGCCATTTTACACACAGTACCTCCCTTCAGAGAATCCAAAGTAGTCGGACCGTAATTGTAATTGTTTTGGCCAGGTACAGTCACTCCCTTTTAATTTTAGTGTAGCTTACTTTGATCTCTTGGTGGCTTAATGTTTATCACAAAACACTAGAGTGGATCAGTCCTCCTATCTAACTCTCGGCAAGTAAGCAAAAACATTTACAAATACATTTCTCAAAATGTCAAACTTTTCCTTGCCACATGCATCCAAAGAGAGCAAGACATCCATGTAAAAGGAGTAAAAAGAATCAATTTATGTGATGGGGGGATAAAAGATGGGAAAAAACATTGTCTTGTCTGCAGGGTAATCAAGTTAATGCAATGCATTTCTCCTGCAGATGAAGGTGATCCAGTACACTCCAGAGAAACTCCATACAGCTTTGGTCTCCAATTCTCAGTATTTAACTAAGGTTTATAGTAAGTACACAAAAGAAGAAAAGCGCCTTCTGGAGGAAGGATTCCACGCTGGGCAGCCGGGTTCCCTTTTCCAACTCCTCACCGTGCACTCTGACTCTGACTGGATCCTCGCTCACCCCGAGGAGCCCGAAGACTTTGAGGCCTTCTACAGAAAGCCTTATCGCAAGACCCCAAATGAAAGCCAGAGTACTATTTATATTCAAACCATAGGTGTGCATATCTGCATATCGTGTACTTAGAATCTCTATTTCTCTCAGTTCTAGCGGAGTATGTGTGGGGAGTTGTGAAATGTTTCTCACAGGATTTAGTAGCTTTCAGTTGATGCCCTTAGCAGTGGACATAGAGAGCATGAGAAGAAAAAATGAGAAAGAAAAAACTATAGTCAGTTAATTTTGGGCATTACAAATGGGTAAAGTATGTCTAGTGTGTGCAACAAAAGGGTGTGGTCTCCAAATTCAGCATGCCACTTGGTTGCTTAGGCTTAATTCTGCACTTTGTTTGTTGTAGGTTCTTTTGGAGAAGTTGCTGCCCAGACAGACCAGTATATGGAGTGGCTGCGAGATTACTGCCAAGCCTTCTTCTACGGGCTTTCTGTGAAGTTGCTTCCAGCAGTTGCAGTGTCTGAAACAAAGTGCTCTTTCAGGGTCAACAGTAACTCTTACAACCTTCAAATCCTTACTGGTAATGACTTAAAAATAAAAACAAAAAACGTACATTTAACAATTTTCCATATCAGTTAGTGACTTTGGACATTTTCCTTGCAGTGTCAATCTGGGTTGGTGCAATTTTCTTTGTCAGTACTGTTTTTCTCTTTAACTAAAGGCGATCTGCTACAATTTCTGAAGAAGAGGAAACCAAAAGATGCTTTTTGTATTGTTGGAATCACAATGATTGATCTCTACCCCAAAGATTCATGGAACTTTGTCTTTGGACAAGCTTCTCTGACAGAGGGTGAGGTTTCTAAAAGCAAAGCACTAGATTATTCAAACACAAATCAGTCTTGATGCAATTTTTTACATGACCATTGGGGAGGAGATGCTTAGTTTTTTTTTGTGTAATGCAATGTGACTGAGTAGCCACTAGATAGTGCTAAAGTGAAATACATTAGAGGGGAGATAGCTTCCTGTTTCCTTTCCTCAAATTTTTCCTAAATGTGTACAGGAATGGGCGTTTTCAGTTTTGCCAGATATGATGACAACTTCTATAAGAGAAGTTATGCTGGAAGGCTGAAGAAGCATCTTCAGCCAAGGCAGGAGGATTATTCTGTGTTTGACGGCTATTACACTCCACCGATCACTAGCTCTCTGCTGCTTCGATCCTGCAAGGTTACTAAGAAACATCTCAGTTTACTTAATGTATTTAGTTATTGTTGGTTTGCCAGTGGTCATGATCTGCCCACTTGTATCAACACGTCTTATCAAAGCACTTATTTCCATAGACCCTTGTAAACCTTCACTCTTGTGTCTGTTTTTAGTCTTCATTGTAACTGTAGTGTTTCTGCTCCAGACAATGACTCACGAGATCGGCCACATGTTTGGAATCTCACATTGCCAGTGGTTGAGCTGTGTCATGCAAGGCTCCAACCACCTCGATGAGTCTGATCGAAGGCCCTTGGACTTTTGTCCCATCTGCCTTCGCAAACTGCAGTTCGCAGTCGGCTTCAATATAGCTGAAAGATACAAGGTAATGACACATTGATTGCTGAAGACAAGGAGATAATTACAATATTAATCCCTTTACTCTCTTTACTATTTGGTTATTGAATAAATACAGCACCAGCAAGACATTAATTGGAGTTTATCAGACCATTGTTATTTTAACAAAGATATAGTCTCTGTGCTGGAATAGTGAGAGTTCATCTGAGTACTTATTTGATGTGGGGTCATGGGTTAAAAATATTGATTATTTCAGATTTCTAGCAAAATCTATGCGCTGCACTGTGTCCTCAGCCTACCTGACATGCTTGAGTTCACAGTGGGCCTTTAAATCAGACTGAATTTTGACCCCAATGTGCTGAGCAAGTAGATAGTAAAAAACATATTTCACACAGGCTGCTTCACAGTGCCGGCTTGATTTTTAACTTGGCGTTTTTTTTCTCGTACTTTATTTTGTTTTCCACGTTTTGTGGAAATGTCATCACACTGCACTTATTTGTTGTTTATGAAGCATCTGGTAACAGTCACTGTCAAAGCAAGAATGCAAGAATCTCCCACACAGTATTGAAAATGCATATAAAAATAAAAAAAATGGAAAGATACACAGAAATACATCAAATAAAAATCATAAAAAAGAAATAATATTTATTTTTAATATTTATAATATTTTTATAATATTTATATTTTGAATAATATAAAATAATATAATAAACATCAGTTAACCTTTTTTTTTTTTTTACTGTTTATCAGGCCTTACTTCACTGGATGGATGAAGATCAGACTCAAACATCAGTGAAGGCATCAGCCAGTCATACCACACCTCACTTTACAAAACCCACCGAAGCCTTTAATGCATCCAAACTTTGGGTCTGCAGGTGTTTGGAAATACTGGAAAAGGATCAATAATAGTTCTTTTTTACTCTATTTGAGCACTTTATAAATTGCATTCATCCACTCAGTCATACAAGCACTTTTTACAATCCCAAAAATGTTTATTCTTCAGGTCTAACACTACTGGAGTAATAGAAAGCCGTACCTCCTCCGTCATTTGGTGTTTTGATGAAGGTACTTGAGAGTGCTTTCTTACACCCTCCATCCAATTTTTTTCTGTTCTTAACATTTGTGTTGCTGTTTGATTATCAAAGTAGATTTTATGTATCAAAAGTCTAAGTATTGGCTAGCCACTGTAAACAGTCTACTGAACTGTGCTGATTAAAGCCCAAAACCATATGTAATGGGCATCTTGCGTGGTTGAGTGGGTCATCTACTGATCAGAAGGTCAGTGGTTTATTTGTCAGCTCCTTCAATCTGAAAAATATTGCCCCCAGTGCAATGTGATGCTTAGAAAGCACTTAAAATCATAGACTAAAACACTAAACAACTCTATTTTACTTAATGACGTGATGGTAGCACTTTGGAAACCTGTGTTTGCACAATGTAAATTCAATTAAACATGTAGTATGTATATAAGATTTATCATATAATGTTAGCATTTATAGGTTTACAGGTTTTGGAAGACTAAGCCAGCAAATTTCTTTTCTGTCAGTGTATCTGTGCTTTCTGGGATTAATTTGCATGTTTTCAAATAAATGTTGTGTTCAGTGAATGAACATGTTGTCAGTTTGTCTGCTGGGTTTTAGAGAATAAACCACGTTCACCTGTCTGTTTCACAGTGTTGCTTTATTACGAACAAACACGTTTTTGATACAAAAATTGTTTGCGGGTTGACATCCCGTATTAAATAGCAGTGCACCGTTAACTTAGTGACAGTTTGATTTGATTGCAAGTAAGACACATATAATCAAATTCTCCTGAGCTTCAGGTATTTCCCATAACAAGTGTAACAAAGATCTGTGCAACTGATTGTTCTTGCTGCAACATTAGCATCACATTTTGTCTGGCTATCGTTATTGAACTGATCACTGAGGTAATTATTGAGCGTCAGTGTTAAAGTCTCCTGTCAAACTAAGACACCTCCCTTAACGCTTAATCACTCTGAGTGTACCCTTTGTCACTGCCATCCATTAAGTGCAAGACTAAATGAAGCTTCTTCAAAGATAATTTAAAGGTACTGACACTGTTAAAAACACTGTTTGGTATATTAGGTAATTAAGGCACAATTATTACTTAGATACTGTGGTCTAAAAAATTTTGAGATTGCTCTCAGAAACCAGACCTACAAAGGCAGATTTTAAGCACTTAGTAAGCGTCTTTCTCTTCAGTGTATTCATGCTGTTACAGTTTATCAGCATTAGCCTTTAACTACCGTTCTATGGCTTGAACCCTTTATTACTCTCATTTTACATCAGCTTAAAAGGTAAAACACCCTCTACATCACTTAGTGTCAAAGTCAGAGAAATCATTTGGATCTCTAGTTCTCCTCAGTTTGCTCTTCACTCTCCTCCTTGTGGGCTGCATTGCTTTCAGAGCGTCTTCTCTTCATACAGGAAAATCCTCTCTTAGCAGGCTTCACCAAACCCAGGAACAAAGCACTCAGAGCCATGCCAGCTGCACAAGAGTAGAAGGCTGATCCATAGTTATGGGTCATGTCCACCAGCATGCCTGAGGAGCAAAGGAGAATAGAGGTAGAAGTAAGAACTAAAAAGCCAGCTTGTCAAAAAGGTCTGTGTACTCATCTTAAACAAAGGCTGGAAGCAATTGCATTGTGTCTTGTCATGCTCTGCAGGGACTGAATCAAATATCCTGATCTAGATGATCCAGCCAAACTTTATACTTTTGGTTTGTGTGTATTTTGCAAGATTATGAGTTGTAACTACAAGTATAAGAGTCCCATAAATGAACATGTGTGTTTTTCACTACTAAAATATATATTGTTTTAAGATATAGTATCATTTGTAGTAAAGTTGATCCTGGAGGTTATGTCCAGTAAATATGTCATTCCTCAGTACCTCCAAGTGGTGGTCCTGCCAGCCCAGCAAAGCTCTGGATGAAAACATAGACGCCAGCAGCTGAAGTCATCCTCTCTATGCCCACCACATCATCCTCAGCCAGCAGAGGAATGTGGGTGCACACCACAGTTCCCAGGAAGAACCCGTAGAGAGCACAGCACACAGCTAGGCCGTAAAACTCTGTGACCAAAGTAAATCCCACCAGCACCACAGTCAGTGTAATCACACAGGCTAAAAGCACCAAAAGCTTCTTCTTCCTAAACTGCCTCCGTGTGAGGATCCATCCAATAGAGAATCGGCCTAAGATTTCAGCCACGGCTATGGTGGAGAGCATGTAGGTCGCGTGGTCCTTTTCGACTCCTCGACTCTCACTCAGCTGGATGATGTAGAGCTGTGGAGCGAAAAAGCCCAGAGTGGCAAACAGTCCAAAGAGAGAATAGAAAATGAAGCTGCACTCTTTGAGGATGGAGAAGTCCAAGAGTTTGGAATTGTTTTCAGATAACGTTTTGTCAGCTGCATTGTTTAGTTCCTCTTTCATCGCTTGTTTTTCTGCATCTCTGCTTGTTTTTTCCTCTTTTTCAGATGTTTTTATTTCTCCCTTGCTTTCTTCCAGTTGTTCCCGTTCAATCTCCACCTTTGCTTCTTTGTGAGGTGAAGATGTCTGCTGTTGCTTGCCGCTGTCAGTGTCATTTAGAGACTGAACACCAGAGTCTGCAGTGCTCACAGAGCCTGTAGTTAGCTCGTTAGTCAAACTGCAGAAGGTATTTTGATCAGAGAATGCCTTGTTTGTCACAGAGACCCCTGAAGTTGTGCCCTCTGTACAGTCATTATGTTTGCTCAGATCTTTTATGGTTAAGGTGTCAGCCTCTGGTTTCAGCGTCTCATTGGGTTTAATAATTATCGGCCGAAGCAATGCGCCACAGATGATGATGATGCTTTGCAAAGCTCCTAATACTGCCATGGTATTTCTCCAGCCAATATGGTCCCTTAATGCTGCAAAGGCTAAGAGGGAAGAAGAGGCATTCCATGAGTGTCCACAAACAAATCTGCATGAGTATTAAGTATGTAATGTTCAAGATCTGGCTTTTATGAAATGAAAATGTGATCTTGAAACTGTTGCAAACTGTAATCTTTTCTTGATATTATTTGGGAATATTAATCACGTTTTTTCTAACCCCTGTCACTCACACTTGTCTTTAAAGCGTCTTTATGAAAAACATCCCACCTGGTGCCAAAGCAAACATTGACAGGGACTCTCCAGTAGAAGCGACAGCAGTGGCCAGAGATCGCCGATGGTTGAAATACTGAGAAAGGATGGTCACCGTGGGGAGGAAGGTCAGACAGTAACCCATGCCTGCACAGTTGAAAAAATATATACAAGAAATTCAAAGGATAACAGCATTCTGTGCAAAGTTTTTTGAAGTGGAAAAGTAGTGAAAAAGTGACTAAATGAATACCTGCAACTAATCCGTAGGTGATGTAGATTTGGTTTATGGAGCTGGTAAAGATGGTGGCGATGGTGCCAGAAGTAATAAGCAGTCCTCCAGTCATGACAACAAGTTGAAAGCCAAAGCGGTTGGTCATCATAGAAGCAAAAGGAGCTAAGTGGTACAGTGATTCTCATTATTTCAATGTTATTTTTGTATGCATGTAATGTTAAGTTTTGTAAAGCTGCAGCCACATAGCAACAACACATATGCTTACCATTGAATGCCATGACAAACACACTAATGGAAACAATCCAGGAGACTCGACTGTTGGTCTCTCCAAACTCATCTATCAAGTTCTGGAGGAAGATGCCAAAGCTTTTGATGGTGCCATAGGTGAACACCTCCACCAAGAAAAATGCCACAGCCACCACCCATCCCCAGCCACCGTCAGGAACCTCCGAGTACACATTGGGCCCCAAGAAACCACTCAATCCCATGCCCTGGAAAGAAAAACAGCGGATTAGCATAACTGCGAAGTAATCAATTAAAAAAAAAAGTAATAATAATAATAAATCAAATGTGCGTACTTTGAATGGATGATCGAATTAAGACAAAAACACAAAGTAGGGTGGCAACAAATGCTGGACTGTTACTGTAGAGGCGCTCTGACGCGTCAACGCGAGCGGAACGAGAATGCGCCCATAGCCGCAGGACACTGGCCGGGACTCGCTGTAAGTAATTACAGATCAAACCCACAATTCCGTTTCGCTCACACAAACCGGCAGGAATACTTTAATGACGCATTCGGGGAAAATTCATCTTAAACTGGAAATTGCTCTCCGGGTTCGGCAGCCTGAGCGGTAAATGTAAGGAGAAGCGAGTTGCCTTTTTTTTCTTCTTCTAGCAATAAACGATCCAGCATCAGGGGGCGCACGCGCTGCTGTGGTGCTGTAGGTACCTGCCGCACAAAAGCCAGCTTCAGCTCTGTGAGGACTGAGTCACAGCTTTTTGAAGTGTTCCTCTTCTGATCACAGGCAGTCTGAGTAAGAGGTGGTAAGCCTGATCCTTGTCAAATTACTCAAATCAGCTGACTTGATAACTGGCTGGTCTTTCCAGTAGAAGTTCATATAGTGTTACACCCTCTTTTATATCGGTCTTTCTTTAGCTGCTTGCCTCTTAAATAAAGTCTCTCTGTACATTCTTACGGACATCTGTTTAATGCACAAACACTGGCAGTGCTGCAACAAAAGATGGTCAGGAGGGGGAAAGGCAACTGAAGTTCAGTCTCTCCATTCTCCCTGATCAATTATTAATGAAGCTGAGCAAATATATTTTTATTTTTGTAAGAACGGGAGAAAAAATGAAGCAATAATGACAGATTAAATCCTAAATCCTTAAATGTACCACCAGGTGATATAGAAATACAGCTCCTTTGTGAAATTATGTGCAGGAATTATACATTTTTCATGCATCTGAGTATTTTTTATGGGATTCCCAGGTCTCCCAACCTACCTGTGTTTGGATTTATAATCTCCAGCATGGTTTGTTTGACCTCATAACTCTCCAGAGCTGCAAACCTGTTGTGTAAGTATCCCCCTCCTACCAGATTTTGTAAAATTTCTGAACCTAGCCTTCATAAGCTGTGCTGGTATGTTAAGCATAGTGTAAATCCTGTTTTTGATATACAGGCTTCTCATATTACATGTCATATATTGTTGAAAAACAAACAAACAAACAACTATGGCATTCTGTACACCTGCTGTAAATTTTCAGTTAAATAGTAAATGGCTAGTTACTATTACTAGTCCCTAAGGACCCCAAAGCGCTTTACACATCCAGTCATCCACCCATTCACACACTGGTGATGTGTGTAGCCACAGCCGCCCTGCGCACTGACAGAGGCGAGGCTGCTGGAAACTGGCGCCACCGGGCCCTCTGACCACCACCAGTAGGCAACGGGTGAAGTGTCTTGCCCAAGGACACAACGACCGAGACTGTCCACGCTGGGGCTCGAACCGGCAAGGCGAACTCCCAACTCTTGAGCCACACAATTACTCTGTATTCTTTTCTGTAAAGCATGTAAATATCAGTGAATGACCAGAATGATAAAAGTCTGTCATCATGCATATTCTTTATTATTACATGCAAAAGCAAACACACACAAGCACATCAATGGATCACATTTTGACTGTTGTTGCCATGATGCCAGGTCTCTCTTGAAAATTAGATTTTTAATCTCAATGAGATTTTTTACCTGGATAAATAAAGGACTAATAAAATAAAAAAAAACATTTTAACATATATTTTGTGACACTTACTAAGCTGTTCAGTGAATCTTCCAGTAACATTTTAATTTTATACATATGCTTACACATCCCTTTATTAGATAAACTGCTTGTTAACTCAAGCAGTAGAACATGTGATTGGCTGTTAACTCAGCCAATCACATAGCAGAAATTCAGTGTATTTAGGATTGTAGACATGGTCACTGAGCATCAGAATGGAGAAGAAAGTTGATTTAACTGACTTTGAACCTGGCATGGTTGTTAGTGCCAGATGGCCTGGTCTGCAGGGATTTTCCCACACAATCATCTCTGGGCTTTACAGAGGTCAGATTAGATTGGCCAGACTGCTTTGAGCTGATAGGAAGGCAGCAATAACGTAACCACTTGTTAGAGCCAAGGTATGCAAATAAACATCTATGGATGAACAGCACATCAAACCTTGAAGCAGATGGCTAAAGCAGCAGAAGACCACACTGGGTGTCACTCATGTCCAAACTGGACAATAGAAGATTGGAAAAATTTTGCCAGGTCAGATAAGTCTTGATTCACATGGTAGAGTTAGAATTTGCATAAACAACATAAAAGATTGGTGGTGGTTGTAGTGTAATGGTGTGGGGGATAGTTTTTGGTTTTTGGTCTTGTGTACCTAATAAAATAGCTGGTGAGTCACCCTCAACCAGTTGTGGCAGATGGATTGCCCTCCCTGAGCTTGGTTCTGCCAGAGATTTCTTCCTGTTAAAAGGGAGTTTTTCCTTCCCACTGTCTGACTGTTCGGATTTTCTCTCTGTTATTGTTGTAATAATATACATTATATATATTGTAGGGTAAACTACAATATAAAACCTCTGAAGGGGGCTGTTTTTGTGATTTGGTGATATATAAATAAAACTGATTTTAATAAACTGTTTTTTAAAGGTCAACATTTAACTAATTTACTAACAAATTAACTAATGTTTAATCAGTACGCACAAATGGTTCGGCTCTTTAAAAGTATCATTTCATAACCTAAGTGATCCGTTTCTTAAATATTATCAAATGCATCAAGGAAAGTAGTCACAAGACGAAACTAATCCCGAAGGATATAATCGACATTTAGACATGTTTAAGGCGTTGAAAAATACTAACTGACAACCACAGACTGCAGCTTGTTTTGTTTTGTTTTCTTTTGGGGTTTTTTCAGGCGTTTGAAATTTTTCTACCTTTATCGTCTTTGTGTGGATCCGAATTAATAGAGAAATATGATATATATGTGCTTTAAAATTAAATAAAATAAAATAGAACGGTTTAATTACAGCCGGAAATTGACCACTGAACAATATTTAGCTGTAAAGAAATAACTTTAAATTAAGAGCCAGAGACGCGGGTGGTAATGTTAACCTTTGGGTGCCCCACCCCAACGGTCCGTTCTCGTGCGACTGACGCAATCCGGTCCGTCTGCGGGGGCGCGTGATACCCTTGGGCAATAACGTCTAAATAAGTGCTCACAAATAGTTTGTAAGTATTTGTGCGTCGCGTGTTGGCCGGATAATTATTTGAAGTAGCTAATTAAAAGCGAACGTATTCGTTTGTAATGACATGGCTGTAATAAGTCGGAGTGAGCTGTCTCACCTGTAAGAAGCTACTTTCAGAGGGTCCTGTCTTCGCTCGTTGCTATAGTCCCGTAAGTGGCGCTCGAGCGACGTCAATAAACTTTCAAACTTAAGCTAACTTATGGTGCACATATTTCCACAGGCGTTTTTTTTTCTCACAAGGACACACACGTGTACACAGACACCCACACTGACATATATTACATATATGTAAGCACGTGTACAAGCATGCTGTATCAGATAAAAGCTGACATTCATGAACGAGAACGGGGTGGGGGGTGGAAGAAGGGGTTAAAGAGATCTGGTTGCAGCCAGTTCTTCATAGTACCCCGGCAAACTAAACACACATACACACACAAAGTTCTTTAACTTGGGGTGTTGTTTGAGCGGTGCTCTGAGTTAATAGCTGGCCAGAGAGAGAGAGACAGACTGGGAGTTTGTGCCCAACCTCAGGCTTGAATATTTGAAAAACGTTTTGTCAAATCAGAAAAGTACAGATTTGTTGTTTGTTTGTTTTTTAAATCCTTAAACTTTGTTTGGTTAAAAAGTGATGACTGACATTTACCTGAATTAAGGATTGCACTTTTTAGGGTATCCTACAGTTACATTGTCCATTCATACATAATGTAATACTTGTTTTTTTCTTAAGGATTCTTTAAAAAACAAATACTGTCCAAGGAACTAACTCTGCTGCTCTATGCCAAAAGATTTTACTCACTGACATCTGACCCAGTGGGCTTACTGACGACTCTTTTGATGTACCTATAAAATTTCAGCTTTTTTGTTGATTAATTCTTAACCACAAATGCTGACACCATCTTAAAACTGTTAGGAACTAGACAAACATCACACGTGCTGGTGTGATGAAGCAGAAAGTTGAGCACGGGTCGTGATCAGAGGCTAACTGATTTGCCCTCAACAAACTAGGCTGCTTTGATAAAAAGTGGGTTGCAACAGGAACACTACCTGCATGATTAGAGAGATCACGTCTCTTATTACAGGATATGTAACAGGTTTTGAAATGATTTAAGGTCATTTGGATCGACTGATCTCTTTATTCTGTGTAAGCTTACGCTGCAAAATCTTGAAATGTAGTTAATAATTTTCCATAGAAGCTTAAACATAGCAGCATCTTGGTCCATGCTAGTTTATAATACTCTGATCCTAGACTGCACAACAGTCACAAACACTCAGATTTAAAACTAGTAGCACTGGTCAATGCCTGATACTAGTTAATAAAGCTGTATTATTGATGTGCTGTGTTGATACACAGGGATGTCTAGCATGTTCACCATTCTGTAGCATCAAGTCTTCTTTTAACAACAGCTCATAATCTGAGGAGACCAGCTGCTGGACATTTGAGAGAGAAATATGGTCACATTGTACTGGGTCGTTTTTGTCATATTTTTCCTGTCATGGTGTGCCAGATGTTTTCAGCTGGTGAAAGGTCTTCACTTCAGCACCTGATCTCTTCTCCTATGAAGTCATGCTGCTGTAATCGTTGCAGTGCGTGGTTTATCTTCATTGTGCTCAAATATACAAAGACTTCACTGAAAAAAATGTCATCTGGATGTTGCTCTAAAACTTGTATATACCCTTCAGCAGTGATGCTGCTTTTTAAAGTGTGTAAGCTGACAATTCCATAAGAACTGATGCATCCACGTACCATCAGAGTTGCAGGTTTTTGAACCAAGCACTGATAACAAGCCAGATAGTCCTTTGTTTGATGTCCATGTCTTCCAAAAATAATTTCAAATTTTGATTTGTCTGACCAAAGAACAGTTTTTCACTTTGCCTGAGTCCATTTTAATTTCACTTTTGCCCAGAGCAGACAGCAGCGTTTCTGGATCATGTGCAAACACTGGTTCTACTTTGTACAGTAGAGCTTTAACCTGCATATGCAGATTTTAATGCACTTCCTCCTGAGGCTGTCATGATTTGGCAGTGTGGTGGGAAGTATGTGGACCAAAATGTAGGACTCTTGATAGAAAATAAGCTCCAGAGGCAGGTTTATTATGGAACTCTTACATCAAAAGCTGAGCTAATAATCAACAACCGATAATCACTAGTGGACGTGGAACAAGGACAACACACTACCAAGTGGGAAAGAAATGACAAGAAACAAGGGGACATTCAGACGACGACAAAGAAGAGGAAACAGGTGGGAGCATAGTTGGGACCAATCACGGAAACAAGACTTGGGAAAGTAAAGCCGAAAGCTAAACACCTGGGACAAAGTTTACCAAAATAAAACAGGAAGTAACTAAAACGGGAGAACACTGAACGCAGAAAAGGAGACTTCTCTGTGTTAGGTGTCAGGAAATGCAGAGGGAGACATAACAAAAAGGAAGAGAACGTAAACAAACTAAAACCAAGAACTAAACTACAGCCTAAGGATAAAAACAAAGCAGCACACCATTGATATCTACAATCCATGGATAAAAAAATTAGAACTAATAACTCAGAATACTAAACAATATAAATCTTAGTCCATAACTCAAAATGCTGAGTGAAAAGATCCACGACCATGACGGAGGAGCTATCACGAGCATATTGATTTTCAGTCTTGTTCCTTCCTTTTCAGTCTCTGTGTTGCTGCCATGCAATTCAAAGTGAACAAACAGTCTTTGTGAAATATTTCTATGTTTTCTTTGCTCTATTTTTTCTATTGTGATTAGAATATGGGCTTTTAGATTTGTAGATCATTGCTTCCTGTTTTTATTATTACAAAGCATCCCTTTTTGGGGAATTAAGGTTATAATTGCAAGTAATCTTTTGCAGGTTTTGATTCAAAATGGCGGAGGGCACACCCCAGCTTCCTCTTGCTGCAATGCTGCTATTCGGGCTGCTGCTCCACACAGTGTCCCAGCATGGACCCACAGCTGATAAACCCAAAGAAAAACCCAATTTCATCATCATACTGGCAGATGACATTGGCTGGGGTGATCTGGATGCTAATCAGCTCGAAGAGAGGGCAAACAACACACCTTACCTCAACCTGATGGCCCTGCAAGGACTACGGTACAGAATTTGATTCAGATCTATGAACCTTTTCTTATTTTATATTCATTATGTATCAGACGGATGTTTCTACCCTTGGGTGTTTTTGATGTCAGTATTTCAATACTATTATCTGAGGCACAGTACACCAGCATATATAGTTCAGTACTAGTAAACTCAGTGATGGAGAATACTGCTGCTTTGACAGTCATAAAGGCTAAAAAGGCTTGGTGTTCACAGGGTACTGTATCAAAGAATATTAATGGAAGGTGGACTGGAGGGGACAATTCAATTAAGTAAGCGCTTTGGCAACAGTGGGATGGAAAAATGCTCTTTTAACAGGAAGAAACTTCTAGCAGAGCTAGGCTCATGGAGGGGCAGCCATCTGTCACGGCCGGTTGGGTTTGAGGTGAGCAACACAGGATGAAGGCATGCTCTGGAACTGAGCTAGAGATTAATAATAAGTAATTATTATTAACCACACTACCACAATTAGTTAATAATTAGTGTCACAGGAAAAGATGTACAAGCAACAGGGATGGTTCCAACCTCCAGAGCATTACAAGGAGTGGAGTGAAGATTTTGTCAGTGCATCAAGAGGTAGCACACATTGCTGTCTTCTGAAAAAGAGCTGTGACCTTTGCATTTCTAATTAAGTCTAATCTTATCTGAGCTCAGGGGAAAAGTAAGCGGACTGTTGTTCAGTGGCCCAACGTTCTCTTTTTAGACAAAAGTCAATATTGTGTTTAGAAATCGAGGACCTGCACTCTAGAGGAACACAGGAGAGATTAAGAATACAAGTCCGGTGGGAGTCTGTGATTTTGAGTGCCATACTATCTTCTCATATTGGTGGCGGATGGTTCAGTGTGTTTGATGAAATCCACAATCAGCTTAGTCATTTTTGAGCCCTCCATCTATTGACATTCTTTATGGAGATGCTGATTTCCTTTTCCAACAAGGCATAGCACATGGCAACTGTGATGGACCAAGTTGAAAAAGCAGGAGGACTCAAAGGAATGAATAGAAAATAGGGTTTCCATTTATTTAACCCCAAAAATCATATTTACAAAAATACCAAATGTTGAGCTCATAAAAGAGATCAAAGAAACAAATCAAAGCTCAGGCAAAGACTGCAAATTTAACAAACCAAGCAACTGCCCAAACAAACATAACTGACCTAACAGGAAATGACACACAAGGGTATATATAATGGCTGATCAGACCACTATGACACACGAGGGGTAACTAAACAAAACACAATTATAAACCACGAAAATGATGCAGTACTGCGTGGTTTGTTTATAAACTAAACACCAAGGAAGAAAATCAAAACCACTGAACCCTAAACTCAAATATCTAATCAAATACAAAAGCTTTTTTTAAATTAAAGAAAATACACATTCTCCCCTTCAGCAGGAAGTGGTGGTGCGGTCCAATTATCGCTCTTTGTATTTAGTGGTTTCAAACCCTGTCCACACCCTTTTGTCCGGCAACTCCCAGGGATGATGGCAGGTAAGTAGTTAGTCAGAAGTCAAACAAAATAATGAACTGGTATGAATACATAACCTAAATGTGCGCGCTTGCAAATGGAACAAATGTATCCAAACCAATCAATAAACTTATTGGAAACTAAAATGTGTTATTGTGTTCAAATGAAGAAATGAAAATACACAAGCGTTACCGACTTTAGAGTGTGGCCATGGATTTGGCCGTCACAGCAGCAATGCCAAAACTACTACCAAATAAATTGTTGACCATGTTATTACTGTTTGATTAGCAAGCCAGTTTGCTTGACCTGAAGTCCATAGAGAAAATATATGGGATATTATGTTAGAGGAAGACTTTGAGGCAGGAAGTTAAGTTACAAGTGGAGCCTTTATTTGTGAGTCCTTTTAAAGACAAAGTTCTCACACAGACCATGGGAAAAGGAACAAAAGTGGAAGCACAACAACAAGAAAGCATGACAGAAGGCATCAGGCAACACCGGAACAAACAGAAATCCAGAAAACGTGAAACACAGGACATAAAAGCATCTTGATCATGTATTTACACAGATAACACAGAGCAGAACACACAAGGAAACGGTTCATAACAAGAGGAGTCAGTATGAGAGATGCATACAGTCACAAAGCCATGCAGGATAGCTAGAACTAGACACTAAAAAGAACTCTCCATTGTAAACCTGCCAACAACCAAAAGTCAGATAACATTGAGACAAGAAGACTCCTGCACATTAACCAAGATGAAAGAGACAATGAACGTTATGAAGCACAGATACATAAACAAAACAGGGAACACAGTCTGGGAAATAGAATAATAAAATCAGAAGTCAGTGATTTTGAAAGAAAATTTCACTAAAATGACAGTGAAATAAAGAAAAAGTGAAGCTTGATGTGGTTAGAATAATAATGAAAACTAAACAGAAACTTAAAAAATTCAAGAATAACACAAAACCACAATATGGTATGATGATAAAATATTTTTATGTTTTTAATTCTCTAGAATGACCGACTTCCACTCCCCAGCCTCGACATGCTCTCCGTCCCGTGCTGCTATCCTGACAGGTCGTTATGGCCTAAGAAACGGGGTGACTCACAACTTCGGGGTGAAGTCTCTAGCTGGCCTGCCTCTGTCTGAAGTTACCTTACCCCAGCTACTACAGAAGGCAGGATATCACACTGCCATGATTGGGAAATGGCATCTTGGACACAATGGACTATACAGTCCAACTAACAGAGGTATGTGGGACATTTAAGCAAAGTGTCTGTCAACTTCATGTAGTGGAAAAAATAGCAGTTAGTTTTAGATAAGAACTATTTAAGTGCAAAATATAAGCATAATAATATAATATAATAAAATAACATAATGATATATTACACTGTGTCATTATTTATTTAACAAAAACTGAGCCAAAATGTGGAAGCAGTGTTTAGAAAATAAGTGTAGTCCATGGTTTAATAGCTTATAGAATCACCTTTAGCAGCAATAACTTTAAATATTCATTTTCTGTGTGACTTTGTCCCCCATGTTGTCTTCCCTCGCTTTCAAAGGTTGCTGAGGTTTATGCACAGCTTTTTTAATGCCCCAACATAGTATTTTAGTCAGGTTGAGGTCTGGAATTTGACTGGGCCATTATAACATCTTGATTTTGTCTTTGTCAGTCATTCTGATGTGGATATGCTGCTACATGTGGGATCACTGTAATGTGTTGGACAAGCTGTCAGACAGATGGCCTCACATTTCACTCTACAATACTTTGGTACATCAATGCAGAAGTCTTTGTTCACATTTAACATCACAAAACTAAACCATTCTACCTTTAAAACCTTTGAAATGACACACACTGTGCTTTCTTTTACCATGACAGTATATTAGACTTGGTTTTGTCACTTCAATATGTAAATCTTTGATACACAATTTGATATGCAATTTTATTTAAATGTACTGATAAGGTTTCAAAAACTCTGTTCTAAATCACAGTAAATTGTATGTTTCAACTGGAAACCACAAGCTACTCTATACTTTGAGAATTTATAGAAGTATAAGATATGATTAAGTCTAAGAGAGATGGGGGTAATATTTACATTTGCTAGTGACCAATCCAGATAGAAAACTGCTAAGAGTTTATAGTCAGTTGCTAAGAGTTAGCAAAAACGGCAGCAGTACAGCCAGAAGAAATGCTGAAAAAATTAATGTGCAGGAATTTATCTATCAGTTGAGCATTCGATACTTTTTGTGTGTTTCACATAAAACAGTGATCAGTGGGTTAATGTAGACAGTTTTCCTGTTGCACAATGCTGTATCTTTCCACTTAAGTTTTGTTGTTTGGTATCTGTGAAACATTTCCCAACCTCACTGCAGGGAGCAGACTGCACAGGGTCACTAATCACGTCCTCCAACCAGCTGTGTCTAGTGAGACAACATATTTGCACCTGACAACACACAGGCCAGACTTACAACTGCCCCCGTCCCATCCCCTTCCCTGCACCACAACCACAAAAGTTTCACATCAGCATCTTTAAAGCACTGACTAGCCTTGTGCTCAGGCAGGTATAAACAGGTAGTGCAGGGAAAAATACCTGACTACTCTAGTTACCATAAGGACACGTGTAGAGAGTTGAGAGATAAGACCTTTTTTATGGTAAGGTGATAACATGCTGATACTTTGATCAATATTTGCAATATTTTCTATATCTCTTGTGCAGGTTTTGACTACTACTTAGGTATTCCCTTCAGTAATGACATGGGATGTACTGATATCCCAGGATATAACCTGCCCCAGTGCCTCCCCTGTGACTCACATGGACCACAAGTGATCAGGTGTAGTACTGTGACAGTGTCACACAATAATGAAAGTATAGGTTGCACAGTGACTAGCAATACTTTTCAAGTAGCTATTTATTTATTAGAAGGTTTTTTTTTTTTTACTATACTATAACAACCATGAATGGATGCCAGTTCTTTCTTCCAAGGCCTCACCAAGCGAAATGTAGTTTTATTACAATCTATTGTTTTTGTGCTCTAGATTGAAGAGGAACATACATGGAGGTTGTTATTCCAGAATCGGCCTTCCTCTGATTGAAAATAGCACTATTGTGGAGCAGCCGCTTGACCTGTGGACACTAACAGAGCAATACAAGTCTGCTGCACTCCGGATTATACACAATGCAAGGTACAATGAGGTTGCACTAATTTACACAGACCTTACACCTTCCTAGTACTGGGTTGAACCCAGTACAGCACTGTATGAGCTAAAAACATATTTGCACCTCATGAGTTACCTGTGTTAAGTTTAGAAAGGTTACTGTAGTGCAAATATGCTGTAAAAAATGTACATTAACGCAGCACAGCATTTCCTGAGCCTTATTTTGCAACCATGTGTCTGAGCCAAAAATGCCCTAGTTCCCTACAGAAGAAAGAAAGAAAGAAGAAAGAAAGTGTACTTTATTGGTCCCCGTGGGGAAAATCCCTCTCTGCATTTAACCCATTCACTCAGTGAAGCAGTGGGCAGCCATTGGGCGCCCGGGGAGCAGTGTGTGGGGACGGTACCTTGCTCAGGGGTACCTCAGGGTAGCTGTTCAGCCAGGTATGTTACATCTTTCTTTAGACAATATGCGTGTGTGTGAAAGTTAAGAAGTGAAATCTGATGTGATTTAGAGTTTCACGCATTACTTCCACAACAATAGAAACTGTTGTCCTTTACTATGTCTGTGCATATGATTCTCTTTGAATGATTCCACGTGAGGCTTTTATCATCGGCTTGATCTGACCAGTGTTTCAAAATGCTGCTTTATTGCCTGAGGATATGCATGTACTGTGGATCCTCTGTCGACACATGGTGGGGGGGTGAAACCAGGTACTAGCTCTTGCAGACATCTGTAGTTGATTGCCTTGGATGACAAAAGGAGAAGCTGCTGCAGTCTACACAGTTGTCTATGTTTATCATAATGAAAGAACATTACCACAATGTTTTAGTATGGCTCTGTGGTGTGCTTTAGGACTTCTGAACCCTTCCTGATGGAAATTGTTAATAACAGGATAGCCTGCTAACAGAGCAGTAGAGTATATATTTTTGAAATATGCTATATTAAATTTACAAACATAACAAAACACATGCCTTTATGTTACATGACTGCATCATTTGAACGAGTGTAGCTGTGATTGTAAGTAATGAGCTGTAAAGACATAGAAGGGTTTTTTTGTTTGTTTGTTTTTATCAGTGAAGCTCTTTTAAGTTGATAATGCTGTGTTTTGGATGGAAAAATTAAATTGCAAGCACAGAACTCCTTGTTTTTTGACAGACATGGTTTTATTTCAGTTTAAGCATGAGTAAAAATGGGTAATTCTGATGTAGAAGCTGGTTTGGAGCTTTTGAATGAAGCACAATACAGCACAATAGCATGGCAGATATCCTGAGGCATCATCAGCAGGAAATACACCGCTGATGGCTGCTCTCCAAGTACCCCATAACTGTGTTTGTCCAGGATTACTGTTATGTTGCTGTGACAAGTGTCTGAAATAGCATTTGGCAGTCAGTGAATGAAGAGTTTGTCAGGTCATTTAGCTTTAATACAAATCTACTTGTAAGCCAATAGTTTATTTTTTCAATGCAGCATCCGCCAGCCTTATTTTTTTGACACAGTTTCCTTTTATTAATTGTATTTTCAGTGAGCGAGGACAACCTTATCTGCTCTACATAGCACTTGCTCATATGCACGTCCCCTTGGCCCCTCCACTATCTCCAGATGCCCCTACCACTGATAATCACCCAAATAGTGGAGTGTATGCTGCCAGTCTGCGAGAGCTGGATAGTCTGGTTGGGGCAATAAAGAATGCTTCTGAGGCCACAGACAGAGACAATACACTCATCTGGTTCTCTGGTTGGTCACCTGGATTCATGTCTGATATTCTGACAAAGCCTGTAATACTGTCTTGAATGTCTTGCCTTGTGTGCACACTCTTTACAGGTGACAACGGTCCATGGGAACAGAAATGCCAGTATGCAGGAAGCGTAGGGCCCTTCAGAGGCAAATGGCAGACCAGCAAAGGTAAATAAAATAAGCTTTCTGAGCAGTATAACGTCCACTTTATTGCTTTGCATCATCATATTTACATTTTTTTCTGCCTGTGTACTAGGTGGCGGTTCAGCTAAGCAGACTACGTGGGAGGGTGGTCACAGAGTGCCTACAGTGGCTTATTGGCCTGGAAGGATCCCTGCAAATACCACCAGCTCGGCCCTGCTCAGGTGCACCACTTTAGTAGCATGCACAGGCTAGTTTATATCATTTAAATAGGTATATGCATACAATATATTTGTGAATATAGATGAGCAATTTTATAAATCCTATAAAATATATGACTACCCTACACGGTCATAAAGCCAAAGAGTACAGAAGAACCTTGTTTACTGACTCACCCAGCAGTCTTTTACCAGCCATTAAAAACAGTGCTTACTCACTCCTTATCTCTTTGTGCAGTGGTATGGACATCTTCCCAACTGTTCTGTCTCTGGCGGGGGTAACACTCCCTTCTGACAGACGTTATGATGGCATTGATGCCACAAATATCCTCCTACATGGTGAACAGTTGGGCCATGAGGTGAAAAAAAAAAATTCACTTTGAATTTATATTTAGCTGTATACACTTGCTGGCCACTTTGCTACGTACACCTGTTCAGCAGTTGTTAGTGCCAGTCAGGCTGGTCTGAGTATTTAAGAAACAGCTGATCTGCTGGGATTTTCCTGCACAACCATCTCTAGGGTTTGCAAAGAATGGTCCAGGAAAAGGAGATAATATCCAGTGAGCGACAGTTCTTTGGTCAACACTGCTTTGTCGATGACATAGGTCAAAGAAGAATGACCAGCTGATGGGAAGATAACAGTAACTCAAATAACCACTCACTGGACCAAAATCTCTGAGAGTTTTGACAACTTATTGAATGCTTTGATTATTTATACAATGAAGATTTAGGGCAGTTCTGAATCCCAAAGAGGGTTTAGCCTGGTATTAGCAAGGTGTATTACCAAGTGGCCTGCGAGTGTACTTTTCACAGTGATGTTGTATTTTTGAGTTGCCTGCAGACATCAATCCTTCTTTTCTGTAGTTTCTCTTCCACCCTAACAGTGGTGCTGCAGGGAGGTTTGGTGACCTTCAGACAGTTCGCAGTGGGAGACACAAAGCTTTCTACATCACAGGTACTGGTCAAATGGAGGGCATGCGTGCCCACCATCCACAATCCATTACACTACAGTCGGGCATGATGTCATGTTATTAAAACAGCTTGAGAAACAAACTTCTCTAATGCTGATGACGTGTTTATTCACGTATGTTTGCAGTGCTGCTTGTTATGCCCTACCACTGTGGTGGATGGTTTACATAATGTCATCATGGTGGTACCAGACTGGTGACCCTGCTCTGCAGACAGATGTTTAAAAGAGAAAAACAACCCTAAAGGCTACATTGTAGCAGATTCATTCTCATCCTGAAGCATCATCTTGCAAAAATGACTATCTTTGCATTTATTTAAATAATTCTAAACCCTGAACTAAAGTAGTAACTCAGCAGCGTTTCAGAACACTCTTCAGTTTAATGTAGGCGAAAAGGGGCTTATGGGGAATGCATGTATTCCTGTTTCTTTATAGGTGCAGCAGAAGCATGCAGTGGAGAAACAGGAAAGCAGCAGGTCCACGATCCTCCACTAATATTTGATCTTGAGCGTGATGAGGCTGAGGAAACACCTTTGGATGTCAAGACAACTGAATACCAGGTGGTAGCGGAGAGGATCGCTCGGAGGAGGGAGAAGCTATTATGGGACATCGCCACTGACAAGTCAGTGTCCATCGCAGATTACAGGACAGACGAGTCAGCAGCACCGTGCTGTGACCTGACACAGACTGTTTGTCGTTGCCCCAGGCTGGGTTGAGGGTGGAATTCACATGTAAACACTCACACAAGAGGCTGATAAGACGGGCTCATAGCTGGAGAAACAAGTCTCACTCTTTAAAAAAATGTGATTAGCACTTTGTTTGTAGAAGAAGCCATTAGTGAAGGGGTTCAATGGCCAGAGGCTACAGGACATGTACAAACAAGATGAGAGGGCAAAGAGAAGTAGGTGGATGAACTTTGGCCTGTTAGTAAAACAGTGGCTGGAGTAATTCTCAGTAATTTTAGAAAAATAACACATCTTATATCAGATCATAAGACATACTAAATTTAGTGGATAGGATTGGGCTTAGGGCAGAGACTTTTGTTGCGATAATCAAATTTTGGAGACCAAACATCTGAAAATAGATCCTTATTGTTATCTTGTTGAATATTTGATGGCTTTTATTATAATATTCAAACATTTATAATATAATTACAAATAAAAAACAAACAAAACAAAACTTGTTGCAGAGGTCAAATCATTTCTGAGATTTAATGAGTCTCTGGTGTAAATGTCCAGTATTGAACAGCTCAATGCAGCTCACAGGTGCCCTAACAGCGCCACCTTCTGGCAAGTCATATTACTATGTTACTTATTACAACAGTACTATAAAGAAATGTTATATACACATTATACACTGTAAAAACCCATTAACATATATTTTACGAATGTTAGGTCTATGTGTTGATGTGTAACACATTACACAAAAAGGATACTTAATGCATTAATGTAAAAATAACTTGACGTATATGTTAACATATTCAGAATTATTAAGTAAATAACACGTTTTTTAGGCTTGCACTGAAAACAATGGACCTGTAGCTTTGTCGTGTACAGCTCGTCCCAGGATTTGCATTTAGCTGTCGACTGCTGCACCTACAGAGCAAAATATTTCATCAGGTTACATTTGTGACTCTGCAGGATTTTTCAGTCTCGTGTATTGCTACCATAATTAGTATCACAGCTGCATCGGCAAGTCATATGATACTTATGGCATGTATCGTGATTTAAATAGTGTATCATATAATATCTATGTATAATTTCTTTGTGAGTGAACTACTGCTTGTCTCTCCTGAGGTATCATACATTTTTATGACCACTGATTGAAATGTTCTGGAGCCCCATACACAGGAATGGCCCTGATAAATGTCCTAAGACTTAACATTGCACTTGGCTTGTTAAGAAGTAAAATCTTAGGGGAGTTTTAAGCATACCTCCCAGGGTCCAGTCACACTAGGGAAAACAGCGGTCGGAGACTGCTGTGTGGAAAAAAAAATTATGCCTGTATGCAATTAACTTGCAGTGGTATTGCCTTTGAAATGGTCTCTTCAAAGACAGATCATTTTGAAGCAATGCTCAGCTGCTGTCTTTAAACCAACTTTGGTGCGTCAATTTGGCAATAAAACTGGGATAAAACGGTAATAAGACGAAGTCAGTCTGCTATAAATTTTTGATTAAACAGGGTTAAGTTGGCACTTAAGCGCTGTATGCAATAATACCCTAATTGAAATCTGTTGCCGTCTACCTCAGTCCTCAGTCAGTCCTACCAGAGCCAGGGGTGGACTCAGCACCAGTGGACTGGGAAAACGTTATAAATTTATAAACAAACAGCTGCAGCTAATTCATTCCATTAATGACCAACATTATATCAAGAGCAACGTAACTGTGTGGCTCAAAAATGAGGATACCAGAAATGTAATAACAACACAATACAGTTTGAATTCAGGTTTCAGGGACGTTCTGCTCTGAAAACAGTGGGACAGTTGAGAAAAGTGAGAGAAGGCGGAAGGAGAATCAACATGTTTATGCTACAACACATTAACTTCTAGTGTGTCAAACTTGATACATGAGTTTTAGAGAATCTTACATCATCAGTGTGATTTCTTTCCCCCCTGAAAAAATTGCAAAACACATTTTTTAAGAAATAAATTGCAAAGAAAAACACAGATGTGGTAAGCATGATACAAGTTAAAACTCATATATCAAAATTAATATTTAATTAATTTTAAAGCGTTAGAAGGGTCAATAAACACTCAATTTTCTGTCTTAATTTCATTGCTCAGACTTTAAAAGGATAATGGTGATCTCTTATTTTGTTATGAATAACTGGGGACTGTGTGGCCCTGAGAACTGAGGTTCAGGCGGAGCCCAGGTTTTATCCAGAGATTTACTTCACTGCAAACACTTCCTTCATATACCTGAAATCTATGTACACTTTGTGAACCTGAATTGGAGTTATACACCTGGGCTGCTGTCTCACATCCCACAGTTAGAAAACCTTGAATTAAGGCATCTGTTAAGCATAAAATTTTAATTTAACTAATCCTAACATACTATAACATTCAGACACTGCTATAATACACTAGCACAGTCCCACTAATAGCTCCATTTTGAAAGACACATGTAATGTATGTATTAGTGTCTGTCGAGGGAAAGAAAGAGAAAGAAAGAAAAATCAATCTTGCTCTGTGTGCACGCTGCTGAGAAAAGGCAACGCTGAAATGTGATTAAACACTGTAACTCACTGTAAAAAGGATAACAAGCTGTATACTCATATGTGGTTCTCCTACAGCCTTCTGAAAGTCTGAACATAAGACATGCTTTGCAGCATTAAATTCAGTGCAGCTTGCAGTGAAATGCCCACCACAAATCTTTGTAACTGACACTGACGCGATTCATTGTATCCTCACTTGGAGAAATAAACATGATGGTGCAGACGAGATACTCATCCACGCAGACTGACTCCGGGTTGCAGCAACTTACTGCAACATTTTGGCGTTCTATTTGCATTTATAAATAAGCTGGCAATTATTTGGAAATCTGAAATAACTGAAATAATTTGGAGGCAGGTTGCTTCCCCCCAGATGACCTGTGCAAATGCCTTGCAATCAAATCAGAGGTTGGGGGCACTGTACACTCAACCTCTGAGTGACCAGTTGGTCAACAATTTGTATTTGGTCCCAAAAAAAACTTGCCAATTGCCAATTTTCTCCTAGTGTGACTGAGGCCATAGGAGCACTTTTGTTATTTTAACCCCTGGATATTATTGAGCTTAAGTATTGTCGGTCAGCTCATACTACTTACCTGCTCTTTAGGTTGCTACCATAGTAATGATTTGTCGTTGGACAATACATATATTCAACAGTAGTAAAAAAGTCAGAATTTCTAGCTGTGCACAGTGATTATTTCAACATGTTTAACACTGTTGTTAGTGGTAGTATATGGGAGTTAACATTAGGATGGTTCAGACAGCCTTTGACTTAAAGAACAAATGTTCTGTTGATGTTTTTTTCTTTAGGATGAGTGGACCTTCTGCTCTGTTTTAGTGTTTTTTTCTATATCCTTTACAAATAACAATGGGTGCACAAAATACAGAAATACAAGAAGGTAATATCCTTCCAAGATTTAACTTTAGGTGTGCAGGGTAACTTGTGAGAGGGTTGGGAAGCCACAATGTCGCATCGCAACACATTAGGAATATTTTGTCCAACCTTCCTACTAGAAACAGGTAAGTCTGGTTTGTGTGCAGGGGCAGGGGCAGGGAGGGTACCCTGGGGAATTTGGTCAGTTATTCTGGTTTCCAACCGGAGGGAACTCATTCTCATCATCCAGACAAACGGGGCCCTCAGCAAATTCGTGCTCGGGGATGACTTCACCCTTCTGGGCTCCACCGTCTTCGGAGTAGCCTGGAAAGAAGCAAAGAAAGAGCATTTTAAAATTTCAAATATTTCTGCTCATATTTGGATGGCTAGGGTTTTAACTATAAAGAAACAAGCTTCATTTAAACAGGAGTCGCTTGACAACAATACTAAGAGTTGAACATACACACACTATTTACAGCTGTGTTTAATATCCATTAAACATAAAGTATACTGACTATGCTCATTTTAAAGTGTCAGCCTTAAATCTTACCCATTAGAGTGGTGGAGGAGGGTGCGGTCGTGGGGAGAGCCACAGTGGCAGCATATGTTTGGCTAGGTGGTTGTGGAGGGACATTCTCGGGGTTCTCCTCTTCCTTCTGGTCCACCTGCTCTTCATTGGACTCAAAGAGCCTGAGGAAGCATGGAAGAAATGGGCTGAATAGGATTTAACACCTAAGATAATGCGACAACAGGAATGCACAACAATGTGAGATTTTTAAACAGCAACAAAAGATGGAAAAGTATGGAAGTAAGGAAATGGACAACTGTTTAAATGCATACAGATACAAAAAAATAGCATTCAAGCGTTTTCAGCTCCTACATGTGATTATAGTGCACATGATTACTAGAGATGGCACGATACGACTTTTTTATGTCCGATACGATACCATAAATTTGGATATCTGCCGATACCGATATGAATCCGATATAGTGTTTTTTAATCAACAAAACTGTTTTTTTAAATATCTTGCTGCATTTTGTATAAGTTCATACTCAAGTTTAAAACAACAACTACACTAAAGCTATTCTGTTATACCTGTATGCAAAAAAAAAAAATTTCATAGTTCAGCAATACTGATCAATCTAATAAACTTAAACCTACACCATCCTCCCTATTCTGGTATTTTAAAGAGTACTTAGCGTAAATATTAAGCAACCTAACTAATAGGGTTCCAACTCCCAGCAACAACAAAAATAAATAAATAAAAAATAGGGAACCACCCCTCACGCGTCCACCTCATGATGCTTAATCGATGTAATCAACCTTAATTTGATGCAGTGTGAAAAAAATGCACAGAAATCAATTATTTTTCAAGAAATATTAAATAGATTCAACATCTTTCTTCAACAAAATTGCAGACTGCACAGATGGTACCTTCCCAAAGGAAAAAGTACTATAGCTTACTAGGGTATATATATTAGACTTAATAGTCACTATATACAGTAATTGGACTTCTATTCATTTTACATCAAATTAAAACTTTGGGTGTCAGATAATTATTTATTAAAAGCTAGACATTTTAAATGAGAATAAGAAAGAAAAGTATGTCTTTGTGCCCCCTTTTCCCTGTTAATGCCCTATCGGCCCCCCTGGCTAAACTTTGCTAGATCCGCCCCTGCACAGTTACCAGCGTCAGCTACGTAAAAAAAGATCCTGGTGTAGAAAGTAATATTAAATAAATTCTAACAACAGCTTATCAAGCTTAAACGTGCTGCTGTTGTTTATCCACTGGTTTCCTCTTTCTGGTGCAAAGTGGGCCAAAAACAAACAAGAGAGACGGACTCGCGACAGAAAAGCCGATCAGCTGATCATTAAGCAGTTTCATGATTGAAGTAGCAGCAAGAAGAGGCAGTCGCTTGTTAAGCTTAACGCAGGAATGCTTTACAAACATTCAGAGATGGACTTACACACTTGCTTTACTTCTCTCGGGGATAACTTTGTCGGAGATGAAATGCCGGGTTGCTAGCGAAGCTCCAAATGCTATCCAGACCACCGACAGGTCCCGCATGCCACAGCCGCTCTATCACGTGATGCATACTGCTCCGACGTGCTAACGTTCTGAGGTGAGTTACGGCGTGTTGCAAGTTTTGTGAGGTGCTTTCGTGATATTTAATGGATCGGATTACATTTTTTATTTTTCTCCGATATCCGATCCAGTAATTTAGGTCAGTATCGGACCGATACCGATACGTAATATCGGATCGGTCCATCTCTAATGATTACATCTTCATCTTCACCTTTCTATCTGCCTCAAGATGTCTAACTTTTCAGTTAGAGTAAGTCAAGGGGAACCAAAATAAGTATACATTTTAATTTAGAATGAGGATTTCCTGCCATATTTATAACCTGTACATCCCACTAAGATATACACACCTGTGCTTTTGAACAAGGACACACTCGCCTCCATCCTGTGGATCCACATTATAGATGTAAAGAAACCCATCTGAAGATGCCACAAGCAGGCGAGGAAGCTTCTGAATCCTGACAACAACATCAACAAAAACAACACACACACAATATAAATGAACCTGCACAGATACAGACTTGTGTTTTTTCAATATACCTGTATAGTTGTAGTTCTCTTACGTAGCGAGGGCACAAATGTTCTTCAGACCGAACATGTTGAGTCGCACTGTGGCAAAGGCTCTGTCCTGATTCATCATGTCAGATACCTGAGTGGGTAAGTAGGTACTGGCTGCTGTGAACATTTTCCCCACATATGCTGACCATGTAGGGGACTCTTCCTCTTGGCTGGAATCAAACAAGATGCTTTGTAGTTAAAGAGAAAGAAAACATTTAACATGAATAAAAGACTACTAAAGATAACAGTTTTATAATATAATGGAGCAATGAGAGTTAGAAAAAAGTGCTGTTTTTAATAATAACACAGCAGAGAGGCCGAGGCATTCATTTACTCTGGTTAGGAAGAGCAACGTTTGAGACAAAAGCATCTCAACTGTCAGTGAGTCCCCCGTGCAAAATAAAATAATAGTAATGGTGAAGCAGGATAATACTCATCTAAATAATGGTTTATTATCAGTTATCACCAGCCACTTTATTAGGTACACCAGTTCTACTAAAGTTCAAACCGAGCATCAGAGGAAAAAAGATGATTTAAGTGACTTTGAATGAGGCTTGGTTGTTGGTGCCAGATGGGCATCTCAGAAACTGCTGATCTGCTGTGATTTTCTCGCACTACCATCTCTAGAATTTACAGAAAATCTGAAAAAAGAGAAAATGTCCAGTAAGCAGCAGTTCTCTGGGTGAAAATGCCTTGTTGATGTCAGAAGGTCAGGAGAAAATTACTAAACTGCTTCAAGCTGACAGGACGAAAAAACCAACTCGAATAACCCCTTGTTACAACCAAGGTGGGCAGAAGAGCATCTCTGAACACAAAACACATCAAACCATGAAGCAGGAGGAGACCACGCTAGGTGCCACTTCCTTCAGCTAAGAACACGAAACTGAGGCTACATTTCAAAACTGGACAATAGAAGATTGTATAATCTGACGTGTCTCAATTTCTGCTGAAATATTTGGATGGTAAGGTCAGAATTTGGCATAAATAACATGAAAAAATTGATTCCTCCTACCTTTTATCAATGGTTTAGGCAAAGTTGGCCAAATACTCCTCCACACATGTAATGGTGTGGAGGAGTATTTTGTTGGCTAGCTTTGGGTCCCTTAGAAACAACAGAGCATCATCTAAATGCTACTCAGCCTACCAAAGTATTGTTACTGAGCATGCACATCCCTATACACGGTGCACCATTGTCTAATAACACCCTATATCTCAAAGCTCAAGCCATCCCTTTCTTGATCATGACAGGGAGTCTGCTGTATTCAAATGGCCTCCAGCCTCACACCTTTTGGGATCTGATGAGCAGGAGATTTACAGCTGACCAGCAGGCAGATCTGCAGCAGCTGTGTGATACTATTATGTCAATATGCTCCAAAAGACCTAAGGAATATTTTCAGCATCCATCCATTATCTTCTGGTTATCCAATACAAGGCTGCAGCTGTTAGGGCAAGAGGCAGGGTCCCCAGTCTAACACTTAGAGACAGAAAACCATTTGCATTCACAATTTAGAATCACCAATTAACCACTAACTACATGTCTTTGGACTTTGGGATTAAGACAGAGTGTCTGGAGAGAACCCACGCAAACACAGGGAGAACATGCAAACCCCACACAGAAACACCTTGTTGAAATTCTGCCATTAAGAATTAATGCTGAAGAGAAAAAGTGGGTCCAATCCAGTGCCAACTACTTTTATAGATGCACCTAATAAGTGACTGTGAATATTTACATTAATTAACATATGACTTTATATAATAGAACTATAGGATTAATATTATTCTCAACACAATTTTCTTTTCAAAATTAGATAGTGAGTAACTGAAAAAAGAAGCTTGAAAAAGGAAGAGAGAGTCAACCTTGGACTGTGCTGCTCCAGTTTAAAGATATGGACCGTCTCAGTGTTGCTGGAGGCACACAGGAACTGTGCATCTGCACTGAAGGACAGCGAACTGATACTAACATATCTGGAACACACACAGGAAATAGAAAGAGAAACAAAACAGTGAGATTTAATTTCTTTTAAGTAATCCAAAACTAACATTACAGTGATGTATTATTAAAGCCCGTGCACGACTTTGCCTTTAAGGATTTTTGTCTGAGATAAGAAATGACTCTGCAAACCTTTGCACACAGTCCGGTCACAGCAGTGTGAGTGTTGAAACGCTGTGTATGACAGCCTCCATGCTATCTTACAGTGTAATGTTTCCATGACCCCACCACTCACATTACTGTTAGTCAGTCACTGACACTGGAACCTGCTCAGCACATTCACAGCCATGTATCATTGGCTGTTGAGCGGAAGAGCAGTGAGGTATCTTATTCACCAAAACATGTAACTGGTGAATATTACCAGATTTAATTGCACTGCTCACCTTCATGTCACGAGAAATTTATTAAACCTCTTTCCTACATTATGAATCATGTTTGTTCAATGATTTTTTTTCTTTTCAATTCTGACTGCTGGTCAGTACTTAATGCCTAAACTACGAGAAAAGAATAATAATAACCTTTTCATGCCTCTGCGAAATTCAAACAGCTTCTGTCCTTCAGGGATGCTGAAGACTCTGATGACAGTACCCTGTGGAGGAAAGCGTGGTCAGGAGGGACTGATGTGTAATAAAAGAGAAGGAAGGTGAAAAAGGAAATCAAACCCTCACCTTCTCCGAAGCACTAGCCAGCTTTGTGCCGGAGGCGTTGAATGTGAGAGCTGCCAGGGGACTATCATGGGCCTGGATCAGCGTCACAGTGCTCTAAAGGGGCAACAATGCTCTTTAACACAAGGCTGCTCTTTTCCCCCATGGGGTTTCCAGGTGACATGAAAACAGCTGCATTTCTTTCCTTTGTTGCCTCACCAGATTGTTGGCATCATAGACTGTGATCTCTCCCATGGTGGCGCTACCAGGATACGCCAGGAAGGAGTTGCCATGGTTGATGGAGAGTGCACAGAGACCTATAAAGGAGACAAGAGGATTATTTACTATTTTATCTTTTTTTTTTCTTTTCATAATCACTGATTTGGCTTTTTTTTCCTATTGGAGTTAACATGCATTATCTAATCTGACTTATTACTTATAAAGAATAATGTGTTAGGCCTGTGAATACATTGGATCAAGCAACTGTTGCATGCTTTTTTAAACACAGTGCTTTGGAAAGCCTATGAAATGCAAAATTCTTATCATTGTTACAGGAACTGAAGCGCCTTGTCACATTTAATCAGTATTGATATAGCAGCGTCCATTTGCTGACTTTATGATTGTTGTCTGCTTGTTTTGTAAATTGAAAATGTATCCACAGTGGCTTCCAGTCAAAAAAGTAATGTAAATTCCACTTGCATGATTAAATACACAGCTAACACACATGTATATGATAATACTTTTCCTTACAGCCCCCCAAATATTCCCATATATTATTCAAGTGTCACAAAATGCATGAATTTCATTGCATTGGATAGCATAATGTCAAATCAAATTGTAGCTGCATTTATTTTCTCTGCACACAGTAACTTCTAACTCTCTCTTTAATCACTTAATCACCTTTAAAGCCAACTGGAATCTCCGGCAGGCTATGTAAAAGACATGCTGATCCCATCTGAACTGTATGCAGCCCTCATAAACAGTATGGCAACCTTAAAATCTCAGCTGAGCCCTTTCTGGCTGTTCTAAGGTGACCATGTGTCTGCCATCAGGGCCTCTCGGCTATTGTGGCTCGCAGCTTCATTGACTTCCCTTAGATCTTTTCTGAAAACATGTTTTTATAGACCAGGTTTTATGCGATGTGTCTGTTTGTCTTTTTGATATTACTTTGCTTTTTGTTCTTTTTCTACTGACATTTTGCATTCAGTTCTATGCCCCTTTTCCTTGTATCAATTATATCTTCTTTTTTTTAATCTATTATTGTTTGCGATTGCAGACTGGCTTTACCTTCTAAGCATCCTTCTTTTGCCTTCATTAAAAAACTTTCTAAAGAGATTTTAAAGGTGCTGTACTATTATTAATGCTTCAGTGTCTTCTAGCCCACAGAACAACTTGGCAACATCTGGGCATCAGGCTGTCTCTCTAACAGTTGGGGGTTTTGGGGTTTTTTTTGTCATGTTTCAGCAGGCAAAGCTTTAATTTCTTCCAAAAGCTGTAGTCTACCTGAGGGGTTGGTGGGTGTGTTGAGCAGCGTCTTAAGGAGCTTCATGTCTTTGATATTGTGGATGTAGATCGACTCTTCGAGGCACACCACGAGCCGCTGATGTTGAAAGAGACACGAGCACAAGAACATGTAATTATCAGCACAAACCGGGATGATAAAGGGGTATGCAAAGCTGTCGCTCTTGTCTTTACCTGTCTGTTGAGCCTGACAGAGAGGATGTTGTTGGAGTAGCTGTAGTTACAAATTTCCGTGCCTTTCTTAAAGTGATAGACGTTCATTCGTCGTGGCATGGACAGACTGACCACAACCACTAGGCTGCTGGAAAACAGTCGCTCCACTATATAGACATCTGGACACTCCACTGGGGAAAGAAAAACAGATGAATCTCTTGAATACTTGCATACAGGGAGTGCAGAATTATTAGGCAAGTTGTATTTTTGAGGAATAATTTTATTATTGAACCATGTTCTCAATGAACCCAAAAAACTCATTAATATCAAAGCTGAATGTTTTTGGAAGTAGTTTTTAGTTTGTTTTTAGTTTTAGCAATTTTAGGGGGATATCTGTGTGTGCAGGTGACTATTACTGTGCATAATTATTAGGCAACTTAACAAAAAACAAATATATACCCATTTCAATTATTTATTTTTACCAGTGAAACCAATATAACATCTCCACATTCACAAATATACATTTCTGACATTCAAAAACAAAACAAAAATAAATCAGCGACCAATATAGCCACCTTTCTTTGCAAGGACACTCAAAAGCCTGCCATCCATGGATTCTGTCAGTGTTTTGATCTGTTCACCATCAACATTGGCCTGTAAATGGCCTGTATTTATATAGCGCTTTACTAGTCCCTAAGGACCCCAAAGCGCTTTACATATCCAGTCATCCACCCATTCACACACTGGTGATGGCAAGCTACATTGTAGCCACAGCCACCCTGGGGCGCACTGACAGAGGCGAGGCTGCCGGACACTGGCGCCACCGGGCCCTCTGACCACCACCAGTAGGCAACGGGTGAAGTGTCTTGCCCAAGGACACAACGACCGAGACTGTCCAAGCCGGGGCTCGAACCGGCAACCTTCCGATTACAAGGCGAACTCCCAACTCTTGAGCCACGATCGCCATGCGTGCAGCAGCAACCACAGCCTCCCAGACACTGTTCAGAGAGGTGTACTGTTTTCCCTCCTTGTAAATCTCACATTTGATGATGGACCACAGGTTCTCAATGGGGTTCAGATCAGGTGAACAAGGAGGCCATGTCATTAGTTTTTCTTCTTTTATACCCTTTCTTGCCAGCCACGCTGTGGAGTACTTGGACGCGTGTGATGGAGCATTGTCCTGCATGAAAATCATGTTTTTCTTGAAGGATGCAGACTTCTTCCTGTACCACTGCTTGAAGAAGGTGTCTTCCAGAAACTGGCAGTAGGACTGGGAGTTGAGCTTGACTCCATCCTCAACCCGAAAAGGCCCCACAAGCTCATCTTTGATGATACCAGCCCAAACCAGTACTCCACCTCCACCTTGCTGGCGTCTGAGTCGGACTGGAGCTCTCTGCCCTTTACCAATCCAGCCACGGGCCCATCCATCTGGCCCATCAAGACTCACTCTCATTTCATCAGTCCATAAAACCTTAGAAAAACCAGTCTTGAGATATTTCTTGGCCCAGTCTTGACGTTTCAGCTTGTGTGTCTTGTTCAGTGGTGGTCGTCTTTCAGCCTTTCTTACCTTGGCCATGTCTCTGAGTATTGCACACCTTGTGCTTTTGGGCACTCCAGTGATGTTGCAGCTCTGAAATATGGCCAAACTGGTGGCAAGTGGCATCTTGGCAGCTGCACGCTTGACTTTTCTCAGTTCATGGGCAGTTATTTTGCGCCTTGGTTTTTCCACACGCTTCTTGCGACCCTGTTGACTATTTTGAATGAAACGCTTGATTGTTCGATGATCACGCTTCAGAAGCTTTGCAATTTTGAGACTGCTGCATCCCTCTGCAAGATATCTCACTATTTTTGACTTTTCTGAGCCTGTCAAGTCCTTCTTTTGACCCATTTTGCCAAAGGAAAGGACGTTGCCTAATAATTATGCACACCTGATATAGGGTGTTGATGTCATTAGACCACACCCCTTCTCATTACAGAGATGCACATCACCTAATATGCTTAATTGGTAGTAGGCTTTCGAGCCTATACAGCTTGGAGTAAGACAACATGCATGAAGAGGATGATGTGGACAAAATACTCATTTGCCTAATAATTCTGCACTCCCTGTACTTCTACTCAGAGAAGTTATGGAAAGTACCTCAGGTCAAAATTCATTCATAGTACATTCACAGTATCCCATCTATTTGTGAGCTGTGAGAATGGTTTGACCTGTAGCAGACTTGCTGCCAGTCTTCGCAGCAGCCTTTTGGTACAAAAAAAAAAGAAGTGCCTCCGTCTGCGTTTACCTACCTTGCACATCAGACTAAACATGACTTGAACAGCCTAAATTAAGGTGAACATGACCACAGCTCAAACTATGCTGTGCAGACCTCTGTCACTGTGTACTCGTGTCATATTTAGGGGGCAGAATGCAGGTTGGTTTGTTTGCTGATTAAAGAGAGTGAAGAACAGTGTCACTCCTACCCCCTTCATGGATGCAGTCCAGTTTGTCCACAGCTGTGACTGAGAAGAGCCGGTAGCCGGTCTTAGTGCCCACTGATAGAGAGCTACAATGGAAGCACACCCAAATACTTTTTTTAGTAACACTGTAGTTACATAGTATACCATCGGCCTTTAATTTAAGTTGGATACATTGGAATACCTTAAAAAAATAATGTCTTTAGTATTATACACCAACACACACATATGGTCACTAGTATAATACTGTAAACCATTGCGAATGGTTATAATGGATCATAGATACCAATGCTGTAATAGCTACTTTCTAAGCAAGAAAATAATACACTGTGGCCTCAGTTGACTTCCTTACAGCTCTACTGATAACTAACCCATCATTGTCCATGATGCAATAGTAGCATGACCATAACTGACAACAGGGTTAGGACATGGTTATCAGATCACAGAACTACTTTGTTAGGCTTAGGGCAGCTTAAGCCTGCCACAAAGAATTTCAGGCAAACATCTGTTTATGTGCATAAGTCTTTGGAACCTGAGTCATTATCATGCTTAGGCAACAAAGCCTTAAAGCAATTACCATTAAAAGCGGTTAATTTCCATAAAGATGCCTGCCTTCCTAGCTCAGCTGGAGATGAGAGGAGCATTGTGGTCAGCAGGCTTATTTGGCTGTTTAGCCTGAAGCATACCCAAAGGAGTTCTTTGTTTAAGGAGACACACATTAAAATCAAGAGTTTGTGAATCCTTGGTTCAGTATGAGATACTGTAAAGCAGATTTTTCTTAAAGCTCCTTTATTTTCATTATTAACAAATAGCACTGCACGTTGACTGGGAGTGCAAGCAAGAGACTTAGTCTGTGTTACTACAAGTTTGGTTATAATACTAAAAGACTACTCAAAAGTGCAATAGGCCACACAGTGGCCTACTTCATATCCAGCTCTATCGGACTCTCGTCTATAAGTTTAAATGGTGCACACAAAAAGGTTACTTCATTTTGCATGCGCTCACTTTGCAGGTCCCATCAGAAAATAAACCACATTATAGAAATGCAGCTGAAAATAATTATGCAACGGTCAGGTGTATCAAGGAGATTGAGTTCATGCAGGGCCCAGCTCGCAGGTCGCTTACGTGGTGTCCTGGTTAAACGAGGCACAGATGAAACCTCGATGCACTCCGGGGTCGTCGGATAAGTCCGGTGACTCCATCCCAGCAGCTGAATTCCCCCTCCTCTAGAGGTCGGAGGCCTTGGGCCCGGGTCGATCCCCGCCGGAACCCGCTTCCCCTTTTGCTGCTCCCCGACTGTAAGCGCCACGCTCACACTCTTCGGGGACAGGAATGTCCGGGCAGGCTGGCTCAGATGGTGCACATCGTAAACAGGAGCGTGAGCTGCTATGGCTAACCGGAACGGGAGCAAAGATAAACAGGAACAGCTCACTGACGACCGTTTCACTTCGGAGAGGCTACACTCCCGTTGTTATTATTGTGTTATTAACTTCCAGTGTCCACACAGGAAAACAAAAACAGCTGATGGGAGGATGCGTCACCCTGAGGTACATCGTGATTGGCTTTCCAACCATACGTCTGCACGCCTCTCTGGCTTTTCTATTGGTCAAGTTGATAAAATCCAAGAATGGTTTTAGCAAACAGCTATCAATCAACCGAGCGGCTTGTTTAAGAGGAAAAACTGGTGATTGGCCAGTTTTGCTTTCAGTCTTGTCATGAGGAATTGTTTTGATGATTTGATTGGATGAAAACCCAGTGACACGCAAACAGCTTAAATTACAGTACGCAATTTTTGGTAATAGTTTACTTTTTTTTTTAAAACAAAGTAATATGAAATTAAATATACTACTATAATATCTATGTAAAAATATTTGTAAGAACATTTTTAATTTATTCTTATACGAAAATATTTCTATTTCAAAGTTTCGGTTTAAAGCACTGAATTCAGGTTTTTAAAACAACTAATTAACCATAAAAACAAACAAAAGATTAAGTAGTTTAAAGCTTTTACTATTAAGCTAAAACTGTGACCCAAAGAAAGTCTTTCCTCTTTCAGTTCCTACTTGCGGTGGCTGTTCATCTATGTTGTGTCTATGTTCGTTTGTCATGCTTACAAAAATAAAAATGTAAATTAAAACCTTGGATGTGCAATACATTACTGAGTCATTATTGTTGGCTCTGTGAGCCACGTCTAGATGCAGTTGAAGTGCAGACTTCCTGCTTTAATTTAATATATGATAATAAGGGATTTTTTTTCTTTTTGACAGCAATAGCTTTCAAATTCAGTGGCACACTTGGCATCAATTTCAGACTTTTAAATACTTAACTGATGTTGAAATAGTGAATAAATAGCCCAGTCTTGCAAAAGAAACAGCAACAGAGTTTAGAAACAGGAAGCCTATTAATTAATACATTTCTTATTTAAAAAAAAAAGCCCGCATTAAAGTGACACACGATTCCATTGAAATAAGGGTTATATCCACAATGCATTGCGGCGTGACCTCAACTCCAAAGCCCTATATACAAATGTGACCTGAAAGTGATGTCAGTACCCAAACATGTATGAACATTTCACTGATTTTATTTCAGGGCAATGTTTTCATGCAGTAATCTTGTTAAATAAATAATAAATAAAATAAATTTCCCTCCATTGTACCTTATCCCTAGCGTCCTGTCACACCAACCCTGTGTATGCTCTCCTTCACTGCATCCATGAACCTCCTCTGAAGTCTTTTCCTTTTCTTCCTGCCCAGCAGCACCTCCATGTTCGGCATATAATAGCATTTAATTTAGGTTATCTTGGTCACTCCCACTGAAAATCTTCACCTTTGCCACATCCAGCTCAGTCTCATGTCTTTTTTGTCACTGTCACCATCTCCAAATCATGCATCATAGCAGGTTTCACTGACATCTTGTAACCTTCCCTTTCACTCTTGCTCCTTCTGTCACAAATCATCCCTGACACTCATCTCCACCCACCCCACCCTGCCCTTCTTCTCTCTTGTGCACTGTCCTTTGCCTTGGATCGTTGACCCCAGCTATTTAAACTCACTCTACCTTCACTATCTCTGCTCCTTGCAGCTTCACTGTTACACCTGTCCTCTTATTCACTGACTTTCATTCCCCTTTCCTCCAGATTATATGGTCACCTCTCCGTGCTCTCTTCCACCTGCTCCCTAATCTCACCATAGATCACTATCACAATATCATCTGTGGATACATGCAGTATTACTGAATTACCCAATAAGGTATAACACTATATCTGTAAAAAATAACGAATAACATTCATATGAGACATTTTTCTCCCTAATGAGTAGCTGCTTCAGCTTCTGATACTACTTCTTTAAAGTTGTTTACCGTTACAAGTTAAATGAAAGACTTGTTCTTGTAGTTGGGGTTTGTAGTGTTGTTGCTTTTGCCACCACGACCACTTTTTGAAATCAAATATTAATCGATTTTTTTGCCTTGTCCTTGACGTCACGATTTCCGTGCGGTCTCCTTTAAGGTTGCCACGGGTTACCGGCTCACATGTCAGAACGAGGAGAATTGACGTCAGTGACGGCTGTTGATTGGTTCTCAGCCGTATCCGGTGGGGCAGCGGTCCAGGGCTCGGGGAAAAAAAATCGAAAAGAGGAGGAAGATCTGGTAACGGTGCGCTTTGAGAAATATCTTACATTCCGAGTCACCGTTTAAAGGCTCGGCAGGATTTTACCGTTTCTTGTGAGTATTCGTGTTGTTTTGGTTCGTGGAACATATGACCTCTGTATAGGTGAAATTTGTTTCCTCCGTCTCTCGTTTGTTTATGCTAGAACTCAAGATGGCGTCATTGGAGGAGCGCTTTGCCTTTGCACGGAGCTAGCGAGCTAGGCATCAAACCTGACATACATAAACTAGGCCGAAGGTAGTTTAGCAAACCTCTGATACGCGTGTTGCTCATTTGAGGGGTTTTCTGCTGCTTCTTCATATGTCGGGTTGCTCGTTTTATTAGCATTAATCTGCTCGTGTAAGTTACTTGACTGCAGCCGTCAGCTTTCTCGTGAAGCCTTCCTGACCTAGACAGTGTTACAGACAGGGCATCTGCTTCATATTTACTCTAACGGTGGTAGTATTTCACCACTTTTTAAACCATTAAATGCGTTATTACAATCCATCATCAGCTATGCTCATTTGTCTGCTGTTTAGCAAGGTCATTGTGCCTCGCTCTTGTTTTGTTTAATTGCATAGTTAGTTTTAGGCGATGCTGCAGAATAGTAGCTGATTCAAAGAATCAACATTTAAATATAAATAACTATTTTAAGACATTTCAAATAAAGTAAGACTTTCTTATTGCATAAGACAGGAGAGCTTTCCTAGTAGAGGTTGCCGTAGCTCTTAATTTATACCACCTGGTCCGAAAACAGTATCGTTTACCACATAGTTATTCCTGTGCTGGGTTTAGATTAAAGCAAGCCTGCCAAGTTTCCACTACAAGCGTAGTTAGTTGTGCATAACGGCTGTGCGAGCTTCATCTTTGATAATATGGCTAGTAATCTCCCCTGGGCCTTGTCAGATTAGAAATTATCCGAATCCTATTATACTGATGCACATGCACGATACACTTGCAGGCACAGAATAGATTGTACTCTCACTCCGCAGGACTTGTTTACTCATTTACCCTTCTAAATGGCAGACATGGGTTACATCAGGACTTTAGAGGCCTTCCTGATTTAGACTACATAGCCAGATCAAGCTCAGAGCTGTCTGAAGAAACTTATATCACAGAGGCTGATCAGATGATCTAAGGAGCTGTCAGGCTGTTTTGCTCAGCACCAGTATTGTGGTGTGAAATGTTGAAACCTCAATCATGTGCGCTTGCTTTTGGCCTGTTTCACATTTCACCATTCGTCTAAATTTAGGCCTTGTCTATGATAATGTTTCAGCTCTAGCCAGCTGCTCTATCATTGATAGAGGGCTTAATTCAGTCTGGGGAAAAAAAAAACTTGAACTGTTTTGTGTAAATAAAACCAAGAAAAACGGTGTGCTTGTTTTAGTTTTGTTGTGTCTGCCTGTGTGTGATCACATCATATGACCAGTTTTCGCTCCAGACAATTAGGAGCACTCGGGCTCCATAGTGACAAAAATAACATGCTGTGCTTTCTCACTCCGGCTCCATTTTTCTCACATTCTCACATTTTTCTGTGTGTCCAGTTCACATTGAGACGCTCAGGCTCTTTTACCCCGTGCCACTCTCTGTCCTCAGTGTTGTGCGCTGATGATCTGACACCATACTTCTTTTCCTTTCCTCTCAGCACAAAGGTTAGAGGTCACAGAGCAGGGTTGCGGCTGTCGTCATGGCATCTGGAAGTACGAGCAGCGAGGAGGAGCGGAGCCTGAGGGAGTGTGAGCAGTACGTGCAGAAACACAACATTCAACAGCTGCTGAAGGACTGCATTGTCCAGCTGTGCACCTCCAGGCCAGATAGGCCCATGGCTTTCCTCAGGGAGTACTTCGAGAGGCTGGAGAAGGTTTGTGTGCTAATGTATGTTTGTGTCTTGGACAAATACAAGCCATTTGTCAGTGATGGGTGAGCATCTTATACCCTTGTATTGGACTGTACTACTGCCAGTTACTGTAACCTACCTTCTGATTTGTGTCACTTACAGTGACGCCAAAATTCATAGCACTTTAAAGCAGAATGATTAGCTATTGGTCCAGCAGGCTGACAGCACCTAACCTCCCACATTGACCTTTTTCTATTTACAGTTGGTTCTTGATTTTTAATTTTTTCAGCATGCAATGGGGGAAAACAGACAAGCCCTATATTATACATTTTTCCTCTTTCTTTCTTTCTTTCTTTCTTTCTTTCTTTCTTTCTTTCTTTCTTTCTTTCTTTCTTTCTTTTTTTCAAAACACATCTTGTGGAAAAATATTTAGACCCACCAAATGTGCGTGCAGACTTGGAGAACAGACTTCCAGAAAACTCTTTGAGAAGTGGATGCTATAGTTTACTCTAAATATTAGTAAAATATTGCCAGCCAGAGTCAGTGTTGTGGCCATTTTTGTTGAATGTTTATAAAATGCAATTTGTATTCATTTTTGTTTTTTCTTTAAAGGTGTAAGAATATACTGACCTGGTTTTGTTATGTAAATTTGTAATTAATTTTATTGGAGAAGCTTTTGCAAAGTGATTGGTTTATTAGCTTATGGACCCTCCCATTAATCAAGAGATTAAGAGCACCCTGGATGGGTGTGGTAAAGAGGTTTTTCGTTTTTTGTTTGCCAAATGTCAGATGGGAAGACGGGAGGGTTAGAAAATGATTTTTTTGACCACTTTTGAAGTTGTTAAAGCAAATTAAGTTAACTTTCGTTTAATTTTAAGTTTTAAGAAGTTATTTGGCTGATTTTTGTTTATAATTTTCCACGAAATAAACGGCATATGATTTTTAAACAATGGAGTCAGAAGTGCGTTCTAAAACAAACCTCCCGTTGCCACCCACGGCCTTTTCTTGGACTTTTTTGGTGTTTGGAACGTAAAAGGCCGCGACAGTCAGCAATAGCTCATATGAAGGAACAGAGAATAAGTAAAACAATTAATTAGTAGTCTGGTTACTGTCAGATCTTTTGCAGATTTTTATCTTCCAGAGACAGGAAAATGAAATAATACCTTAGCTACTATTTTGTTTATCTTATATTATTATTTTCTTCAACTGTAGTCATGATCATACATAGATGGACAGTTTCAGAGTTTTTTCTTCTTCAGGTTTGCAGTTATTTACATTCAACATTCAGAACATTTGAGGCTTTCGTCCATCTTTTTATCTATTTTCTTTCGCTTATCCAATTCACCATGGCAGTGTGGCTGTGGACTATTTCAGCTGCCACAGGGTGGGAGGCAGCGTGCACCCTGGACAGGTCGCCAGTCTGTCACATGAGGCTTTTGTCAATATTGAATTATAAAAGGTTAAAAAGTAATCGGACGCTTGGCTCCAAAGTGTTTCTCGAGCCGTGCCATTTCATTGTTTTCATTGCTGAAAAGAGCTCAGGAGTAGCTCAGAGGTGATTTAGAGATGATTTATTCGACCTAGAATGAGTTTAATTGTCTTGGCAATATGAAGAGTAACAAAATAACGATAGCAGAAGAAGATAATAATGATGAATCAAAATAAAACATTACAAATATCTGGTTTGCCAAATGCAAATAAACTATTAGATCTAAAAGAGAAACTGTTGATGTAATTTGCATGGGAAAGACGACTCTTTTTAGTTTATTTTTTCAAATAACCCCATGGCTAGTCTAGATTTCTGTCCAGCACATGATTAAAATAAGACCAGACAACACAATTTCATAAAATAGTTACAATATTAATGACTTTTGTTGGTTTTCTAAACTCAATTTGTTTGTCCTTTTTTTTTGTGTTTCTATACACTAGGGGCCTCAGTTTTGGGCAATACAAATACTTAGTGTTTGTTATAAAAAGAATGTGGTTTCATGAATTCCTTCTGAAGAGTCTCAGCAGCATGCATGGTGCAAACAGGAAACATACTTCCTATTGAAGTGCATATGTTTCAAAGTTGTACTGCCTGTAACAAAAAACATGAAAAATCTTGTTACGTACACATGAACAACTGGATAATGGGCTGCACCAGAACCTCTCAGGATTTATTAAAATTTTCAGACCCAGTGAAATCATCACAACATAAAGGCTACAGTCCAGCTTACAAAAACAAAAGGGCGAGAGTGGAACTCATAGATTTCACAATGTTATATGGAGTGATGAAGCAAAAATCGACCTCAGAACGATGGAAAGGGGAAAGTGTGGCTTGTGCACATGTGACTGCCAGTGGAACTGGGACAATAAAATGTATTGATCATTTCACTGCTCATAGAAACAACAGGATGAGTGTAGGGGTACACAGTGGCTTTTTGTGTGCTCAGATTCAACCAAATGCAACAAACTGATTTCACCTCATGTGAACTGCTGTCCAAATAAATTGCATATAAATCAAAAGTGTAGTGTCTGCAATAGAGGAACACACCCATCTGATGCATGCTGGAGGAAAACATTACCATGAGTCCTGAGTGTAGGATGCGTTGCTTTCTATCATACAATTAGTTGTGACTGTATAAATCTTGTTTCCCTGACTGACTCAGTCCTGTCCCTCCTATTTAGGAGGAGGCCAAGCAGATTCAGAACCAGCAGAAGGCCAGCAGTTCCCGTTCAGACTCTCGTGATGAAGAGGTGTCTCCGCCCATGAACCCCGTGGTAAAGGGCCGCCGGCGGAGAGGCGCCTTCAGCGCAGAGGTTTACACAGAGGAGGATGCCGCCTCATATGTCAGAAAGGTAAATGCATACAGCAGATACGACGCTATGGCACATATGATTTCTATTCGTGCCAGCATCCTGACATCTGCTTTCTTTTTGATTCCTAAGGTCATTCCAAAAGACTACAAAACAATGGCTGCCTTGGCCAAAGCTATTGAAAAGAATGTTCTCTTCTCACACCTGGATGACAATGAGCGGAGGTACCAGACTTAATATTTTTTATAATATCCGTGGGGATGATTTGGATGACTGGCTCACCTCTCTGTTTCTTTTCTTTATTTAGTGACATATTTGATGCAATGTTTCCAGTCACCTACATTGCTGGGGAAACCGTTATTCTGCAGGGTATGATTACAGCTTGTCAGCATTGATCACAAAAAAAGCATTAACCAAAATCATAGCACTGCTTTCTGTCATGCTAACTGACTTGGCTTTATGCCCTCAGGTGACGAAGGTGACAATTTCTACGTCATCGACCAAGGAGAGATGGATGTGAGTGTTTGGATTGTCAAGTAGCTCTGTTAAATGACTCATTTAAAATCACATTTAACATTTGCAAGTATTTATTTTGGTTTGTCCCTTTTCCAATCCGGTAGGTGTATGTGAACAATGAATGGGTGACCAGCATAGGGGAAGGTGGCAGCTTTGGAGAGCTGGCACTGATCTACGGCACCCCAAGAGCGGCTACTGTCAGAGCCAAGACCAACGTTAAACTGTGGGGCATCGACAGAGACAGCTACAGGAGAATACTTATGGTGAGGAGATGTGCGGCTGCAGACCAGCGTTTCTAAAGCTTGAAGTTGAAATGTTTTTGATCTATTCTTGTACTGTAGATTCACTGTTTGCTCTTTTTTTCTGTTGCTGTTGTATTGAGCTAATTTCTTCTTATAGGTGTGCCATCGTTCTCATGTTCACACTTCTAATCCAACAGCATATTCTTGACGCTATGTTTGTTTGTTTTTTTTCTTTTTAAGCATTTACACTTTTAAAAAATGTCCTTCTCTTTTAGGGAAGCACTTTGAGAAAGAGGAAGATGTATGAGGAATTCCTCAGAAAAGTCTCCATTTTAGGTGGGTTACTTGTTTTTAAATTAACCATATCAGAAATTAAAGCAGAGGAAGGGAAGCACATTACCTGTGTCTGTTGCTGAGATTAAAATAACCTGAAAAGAACTTTAAAAATATCTCACTTTTAAAAGAAAAACAGTAACAGGTTCAGGCCTTCAGAAGATTTTTTTCTTTTTTGGTTTGTTTTTTATTCTGTCATCATTATGTCTCATTATTAAACTTTGCTCTGCTCTCCTTCCTCAGAGTCGCTTGACAAATGGGAGCGTCTGACAGTCGCCGATGCCTTGGAGCCTGTCCAGTTTGAGGATGGACAAAAGATTGTTGTGCAAGGAGAGCCCGGAGATGAGTTCTTCATCATCTTAGAGGTATCCACTTGATTCATTTGTCTCCTTTTACACACATTAAAGGTCCCGTGTTGTACTGCTTTATGACATATTAGTATTAGTCTCACTTGTCTCCAGAATATTTCAAGTTTCAAAGTGTCATTTTGTTTTTTGAGCCACACGTTTGTATATCTGTGGTTTGGCGCTCATTCAGTTCAGTGAGGTCAGAGTGAACGGCTGCTGACACTCATGCACGAGACACTCTGTGGCTTCTTTCTTTGTGTGTGGATATTTCACTTTTGAATAGAGCTAAATTCTCAGCACAGTGTTTGTGAATGCAGAGTTTGTTCGACTACCTCGCAGCTATAAAAATCTAAATTTCAGCAGTGCAGTGCATTACTATGTTAGCAGTTTCCCCTTGTAGTTAGTGTCTTTAAACTCAATATTTTCTGATCACAATGTTTTCTGGAAACGGAAACCGATAAGTATGCACATGAGTGTGAAGTGCAGGACAGGAGAAGACACACTCAGCTGGATTTCTGTTCAGCATTTGAATGTAACGGAAACACGTAAAATGACATGAACACGCACTTCTCTACTTCTCTGTTGGTTTTGAATCAGCCCTTTTTCTACACTCTGTGGTTGTCTCTCATCGTTATGTTGCCCCCAGACCTCTGACCTGTGCGCGTACTAATTAGGTCACATGAGCCCTCCCTAGGAAATAACAGGATTTCCTTTTCCTATGGTGACATGATTGGCTAATGTAATTCACTGAGCTTTCAGTTGTTAAGGTGACAGGAATACATGAAAGTGTTAGTTTGGTTAGTTGTGGGCTGTATTTTCAACGCTTTGCTTGGTGTCACGCAGACTTTTTTCATATTTTCTTTATTTTAAGCAACCAGATTCCAGAAATGACCCAAACTAACTTTGGCAAACACTGGCTTCCTGTGCAGCTCTGATGTTTAACAGCTTTTAGTGCGATACACAATAATTGTGCTCATATCTTAAAGTCACACAAACAAACTTCAGCAGCTTTGTGTTCAGCAGTGTTAAATTACTGCTTTCTTTTTCATCAAAGTCTGACGGCTTTAAGAGAGATGGAGGCTTCAGTTCCTCTTCAGAAAGAGCTGTGTAACAGCAGCGTACACCCAGACAACACTTTAAATATATCCAGCAGTTGAAATCTTTTTTTCTTTTCTTTTCTTTTTTTTTTGGCCAAAGTATGTCTTGCTGCTGGTAGTGCACACCAGTATGTTTAGCATTAGTGTTAGCAGCATGCCAGCAGCGAGAGGGTAGGATCATAGCTGGATTTTTGCTCAGCTTCCTTTCGTTACCTGGTTTCTATATCTTGTAATGCTGGCAGCAAGCAATATTTTACATTTCTGTAAATGTAAATGGCTACTTTATCAAACATTTGTCAATGACTTGAATGACCTTGTCTGCTCCTGCTTTTCCTGGTTTTCTGCCATATTTACATAAACTAGTGAGCCGCACAAAGCTACAAAATGACATAAATATGACTAATTTTAAACTGAATCATGCAAAGCTGCTCTACAGTTGTTGACCTCTGTTTTCCACACACTCCCTCTTGTGGTCATGTATGTGATTGACAGATGATCGGTTAGTGTCAGAAAGTTAATTCACAGGAAAAAATGGAATAATCCCACACTATGGAATATTTCAGTTCCAGCTTAGTTTTTCTTTATCTGCATTATTCCAACATGAACATATTTAGCTTTAAGGTTGTTATGAAGTTGTTACAACTTTTTTGTTTTTTCTTTACTGTAGTTTTTATAAAAATGTACCACTGAACAAAATAAGCATTGGTTTAAACAACTAAAACACTCATTAGTCGCAGTCTTGATTCATCAATGTATTAAAAGCACTTTTATGATAAGCTGATGTTTGTGTGCTTTCAGGGCTCTGCAGCTGTGTTGCAGCGTCGCTCAGAGAATGAGGAGTTTGTGGAAGTTGGGAGATTAGGACCATCAGACTACTTTGGTAAGAACTAAAGTGTTACATAGGAGTCTTTTACATATATATGCATGTATGTAAGTATGTGTCATGCCATTAACTCAGTAGTTTTTTATTTTAAGTAACAAAAAAAAGATAGGGAGCATTAAAAATGGTGGAAAAACAGATCTTTGTGACTATGACCAACACTATTTCTGTATACATGTCTCTGTGTGTGACACTGAAGGATGTTTTCATGTATTTTGAATTTTAAGTCTGTGACACTTGTTTTTTTTTTTTTTCCCCAGGTGAGATTGCTCTGCTGATGAACCGCCCCCGCGCCGCCACCGTGGTTGCCCGCGGCCCCCTGAAGTGCGTCAAGCTCGATCGGCCTCGCTTTGAGCGTGTCCTGGGTCCCTGCTCAGACATCCTCAAACGCAACATCCAACAGTACAACAGCTTTGTGTCGCTGTCTGTCTGAGGGAGCATTTCTCCTTACACTCACTTCTCCGCCCCCCGCCGCACCCTCTCCACCTCTTCTTCTCTCCTTTCAGACCCAGGGGTCCACCAGTGCTTTTCTTTTTTTTGTTAGGTTTTTTTTTTGCTTTCTGTCACTTTCTCCTGATTTCAGTTCCCCCATTCCCACTCTTAATTTCACACACAAATCATTTTATTGTTCCCACCGGTCACGCTGCTGTGACTGTTTTTTTTTTTTTTGTTTGTTTGTTTTTTTTTTTTTTTTTAAGCCATTCACCAGCGCTTGTACCAGCTGCTGTACGCTACCTTGTAGGCACAGTTACACCACATGTAACTTATGTTATATATATATTTGCTGATTAAGCTTCTTTTTTTTTCGATACGAAGCGGGAGATCTGAAAGGTTCTCAGACTGATGAGACAGACAATCAGACTTTACATTGCGCTTTCAGTAAAATTATTTTTTTGTTGCAGACTGAAGTGAAGAAAAGTTTCCTTTGTTGTCGGGCTTTTTTTTGTTTGTTTTTTTTGTTTTTTTGGACATCAATTAGCTTGACTACACACAGAGAGAGCAGAACCGAGAAACTGTAGAGGGCGTGAAGATCTAATGCTCGACTTTGGTTACCGTTTGATTGGTACGACAAGAAAACAATGTCTCTTTTAGTTCGAGAGAGCTTGTACAACAAATATTTTTTATTGTGCAGCTACCAGGCTAGTGCCAAATGTTGATTACTGTCATTCAATGCAAAGATGCATAGCCGTGGGAATGCAATGCGTGCTCTGTTCCAAACAGGAAGTAGTTATCACCCTGTAGTCATCTTAATCAATAGGACGACCATACAAGAACTGCCTTGACTACTCTGAGGAAAATAAATAAATAAATAAAAAGAAAGGAAGACAAAAAAAAAAAAGAGTATTAAGTGTATTTCAGTATTCAGTTTCTTTAGTATATACCAAATAACTTGGTCACTCTTCTGCTATGGTTTGTAATCAAAATGTTATAGTATAGTTAAAATGATCCTAGTTATATTATTATCATTGACTAAATGATAAACTTATGGTTTGGAGTGATGGTGATTGTTTAAAAAAAAAATATGTTGAACTTTGTCTTTTTGTAAACACTTATTTTTCCATAAATTCTATTTTAGGTGTCCAGTGCCACAAAGTAAAAATAAATGCTTCTTCTTGTCAACTGATGAAACAGTATGTAATTGTATTGTGTAAAATGTCATGGGTAAAAACTTTTTAAAATAGATCAAAGGGATAATTAAAGGTTTATCGAAGCGGGGAGTACAAAGCGGTTTTAAAGGACTTTTCAGGACATCTGAAGTATTTTTGTTTCACAGCTCGGCACAGGCGAGTTGACAGGCAGAGCGAGCGGATATTTATTTAAAACTAGTGTCATTGCTTATTGCCTATTTGAAAAGGTGGCTGTCTTTTCATCAGAGTAGCTTGTGACCTGTTCTCTATGCTTACCTGGCATGATGTTTTAGGCATCCAGTGATCTGGTATGAATGGAAGTGTGTATTTTAAAAAAAAAAAGAAAGGAAAAAAAGTCCTGCAGACGCAGGAACCCTGTCAAATATTTGGTTTGTTACTCCTTAGCTGAACTGCTTCACAACTATTTAGATGCCATAATAAAATGAAATATTTCTTTTTAAAAAAAACAAACAAACGGACAAAAAAAAACCCCTTTACCAAATCACATGATGTTGACTTCTGGATTCTACGCTTAAATCTACATTCCTGCATCACTGTCTGTTAGCAGAGATGACCTGTAATCATGTTTCTTTTGGTTCTCATTCAGAGCGTTTGTACTCGCTTACAGCTGAGATGTGTGTTTGGTTTTATGTGCCGATTGCAGGGTAGTCAGGTTGGTGAGAAGAACTCATGGATGTGAGTGTATGTTTCTTCACTCTTAAATCTGATCATCATGCCCCTAACCCTCAGGTTAAACCTTGCGGATGTGGCTTACCTGTGGATTTGTGTCCACTGACAACACATCTGGGAAATGGCTCCGTTAGGGGTGAGGGTTTCACCTTTCTGTCAGAATATTGTTTTCATGTAAATAGCTGCATCATTGGTTTGAGTCCAAAACGTTTTTAGCCACACTGCAGTCGTCCCAGTTTGCCTTAGCTTACCTAACCTGGGCTTACAGTAGAAGTCAGTCACTCCTGCTAGCCCGACCTTCAGTGAGTTTGTTAGGCCTGCAACACAGAGAGCTGCAGATTATAAGAGGACCATTCTTTTTCTATTCTGTCCTGTATTTAGTTTGACCTCCTGTATGTGCAAAGATGTTTATCCTTTTGGTATAGATTGTTCCAGATGGCAGTTTAAGCAATAAAATAGTAAAAAAGAAACTCGGCTTTGTCTCAGACTTCTTCCTTTGCAGACTTTCAATACTGTGCAGGGTTCTTCTTTAGACATTGGCTGCTTGATCACTCATTTCCAGTCCAGTCCTCATACCTGACCATTTTCAGAAGAGTGGTTTTGTTTAAGCCACTTAACATGGACCTATGAAACTAAAAGGATTGGCCAGTGTCGTGTCTACACAACATAACATAACTTTCAAAATCTTGTAGATTCTGGGCATTTTGTTACGAGCAGCCTGTTTTTGTTTGTTTTTAATCTGTTCTCATTTCTTTAGTTCACTGAATGAAAAATGTCCAAGATAAAACACAGTTTGACGGGTGTACAATAGTATTTTTGCACCAACAAGCTGAGCTTTTACCCAGAAACTTGCTATATCTCAGCATGGTGTCAAATGTGTTTAAAACATTGAGGAAACTCGACAAATAGAGGACAGAAGAAGGCATTGCTGATTCAAAAGCTACCTACGGCAGATGAACAGTATCTGAACGTCATGTGTCCTAATAAGAAATAGGAAGAAAAATATGTATCTCATACTGTTCACTGAAGCCTCATCAGAAATGGTCTCAGTGGAAGTGTGGCTGTCAAGAAGGTGTTCTTAAGAAAGAGAGAAAAAGCCGAGGCATCCCAAACTACACAAGTGCTGCACTAAAATCAGTGACAATAGCTCTGATGTGAGTGATGAATCCAACTTTAAAATTTTGGTTCAAATTATCTCAAAGGTGTTTGAAGTAGTCAGGAGAGAGGTACTACAGTGAGTGTCTACAGCCATCGCAGTGGAGGCTGTCATGGTTTGTGGCTGCATTATCAGCCAGTGGTGTGGGAGATCCTATCCAAACTGATGGAATTATGACCTTAGAAAAGTACTGTCAGATTTTGATCCACCATTCAATATCAGAATCTGATAGCCAGTGGTTTAATTTTTAAACATACGATGCTGGGAAAACGTACCAAACACACAGTGCAGCACTATCAGTCATGGACCGGCCTCCTTCAAGCATGGGTTGCAACATTTTTGAAGCAGTGTGGGATCATGTTGACACAGAGAACAGAACAAAAGCCAGTCAAAGAAGAGCTTTGAATGTCCTTTATTTCATAAAATACCCAACCAGCAGTTCAACACCTCGAAATATCTAATAGTAAAGTTTAAGAAAAGCACCTGCCCGCCATGTCCCTGTATTTTCAAAAAGATGTAATATCAAATTTGCACACTAGGTGGAGGTATTGCACAGAAAAATAAACAACATTGATTTGCTCAACAAGCAAAAGCCTAAATTAAACAATTTAAACAACAGATACAATTCTTCATTCCTCATTTGAGAATTTTGTCCAGTTTATAATAAATTTGTTTTTTTCTCAAGCTTTTTAAAACTCCGTCTTTAGCAGATATTATTCAACTGAGCACATTTAAAGTTAGATTGTTGTATTTGGCGCTATGACCCACATTTATATTTCTCAAAACTTTAGCTACTGGTTATTTGCAAATCCTCTCTGTGCTTTCCTTTGGTAAATCTTTTGTTTTAGACATTCATTCACTGAAAGCTTTTAGAGAAGGCGTATTGTAAAAATGCTTCGGTATGAAGGGATTTACCTGTGCTCGAGGGCCTGTTTTAAGTAAAGGATCCTTATCAGCCACTCTGTCTGCTTTGTCAAGCTCAAGTCTGACTCCACTTGGCTCTAAAGTCTCTTAAAAATAGTTGTGGTTATTTATCTTACTCTACATCACAGAGCAACGCAGACTATCAGGTTAGTTGGAGGAGAACAAAGGGAATGAACGGGTCAAAGCTCTGACATGTTCAGACGAAAACCTCACACAAGTCCGCTTGGGTGAGAGTTATTACTGTGGTGCAACGAAATGCATATTTGCTAATTGTTTTGGGTTTGCCGTTTCTGTATCCTTGCCTGGCGGAGCTGACGGTGACGTTGTGAAGCTGTTTAAACGCTCTGATGAGACGGAGGATTACAAGTCTGGAAAACAGGGTGGAGTAAACTAAGTGGCTGTTTAATAGGTAGCACTTTTCTCACAAACATATGGCTGAGCGCGCACACACACACAGTCTGCCGCTCTAAGGTGATAACTTCTCCTCAGAACTTGCAGAATCATCACATAAAGACTTTATTTTCTGATTATATGTCACGGACACGCAGAGCTCTCTTTCCACATCCACAGTGTAAACCAACAATCATTTAAAAAAAAAAAAGCTGATCCAGTGGTGGCTCTACATATCAGATGCTGTAAGTTTCCACTCACAAAGCTTCATTTTATTTCATTAAAAAACAAAAAAACAGGGTCTTTATTTAAACATGTGAAGGTGTCAGAGATTCCTTCCTTCTGTGATGAAGACTCACGGCTTTTTCCTAAAAATTTATCGAGTCTTATTTATACGAGTCTCTTCCCGAGCAGCCAGAAGCCGAGCGCATCCTCTGTTACCTTTGCATCGTCCCTTCTGTGGCAGCCTCGGGAGTCACTGTGGATTTAAAAAAGTCCTCAGTGATTACTTCGTCTTTGCCCAGCCTCCGGACGCACCGGTGGACCACTCGGAGGACCTTGTGCAACCTGCGGTCCAGGGCGAACAGGTGGGGCTCTGTCAGGATGGGCCTTAAAGAGTCTTCCTGCAGGGACTCCCTCATCACATCACTGAGCCTGAACTCTGATTGGGCCAGGAGCTGCAGCCTTAGTAGTGTGGATTGCTTTATCCTGGGGGTAAGAGGACAGGGCAGAACACACGATCAACAGGAGAAGAGAAATTAGTTTCCTTAATTCCTTCACAGATTTTATTAAAACTTTTTACTTATGCCCTTATGTACACAACTTCCATAGACTGAGTCATACTCACATGCAGCACTGGGACAGTGGAGACAGGATGGACATCTCATCTTTAGTGTGCTTCCCAAACCTGGTGCATAAACAACACACACATTAAACCCCGACAGCGAACAAAAGCAGCATCATTTAGTGCTCAGCAGCGGTTCTGTCTCACCCTCTGGCATTGTCCAAGTGAAGAAGGAAGCCTTCATCCCCAAACTTGGTAAAAATCTCATAGTGGTGTCTGTCCATGTTCCCTGTAACAAAGGCGTGACTTTAGCGAGGGGAACAAATCTCTACACATGTAGCTAGATTTCCACAATATAAAATATCTGACGCTACATGAACAGTTTATAATGCAGAGGTAATGAAATACCTATGAGAAAGTCGAAGATGGACATGTCTATGATGTTTAGGAGCCTGTTTCCTGAGTTATAGGGGTACTGCTGCTTTATTGTGTCGCAGTAGAAAGGATTCACTTCCCACCTTTTGAAAGAAGCATAAACGAGAGGAAATTAAAAGGAGCCGATGGAGAATATTCTTTGGAAAATGAAGCAATTAAAATAAATTAGCCACAACTTTTTATTGCTCACTTTCAATGTGATGCTCCAGCAAAACAAAGGGGTTGATGTGTAACACTGTGTTACCTCCCTCATTTCTTAACACTCTGCAAGCATTCAGAACTGAGTAGACAGATGCTGTATTTTATTTTATTTACGTCTTAACAGTTTAGTTCTTGCTTTGCCACATTTTTTAATTTCACAAGGCCCCAAATGTAATTAACTGGTAATAACTCTACAGACCTGTGGTAATTGCAGAATCTGGTTAGTCTTGCAAAAATAAGCAAAATCTTCCCTTTAAAAGGCATCAACTAGCCTTTTAAAGGTAGGTATGCTCTAAAATGCATTATACAGTACAATGTTAATATGTTATTACAATGATGTAACCAGATAACAGAGTCAGGAGGCCTCTAAACTGCATTATTTATTTTGTGTGACAAAGTCACTGAGGTTTTTTAATGATATAAAACAGGAAGTGGTTTTCATTTGACTGGTGCAATCTGACTTTGGAGGCCTTAAAAATAATGGATGCTATAGTAAATAAAAGAGTCTTTGAAATCTTGCACTCTGATTTATGGAAAATGACACTCATGTTTTAGTAGCAAGAAATGTCCATTAAATTAACTGCATATACACAGCAGAAATATTGTTGTCTTATTATTATTATATTTTCCTGAATTCCACCGCCACTACTTATTCCTGTTTAAAGTGAACAAAACTATAATATTCTAGATCAGAATTAAAAACTTAAATGATTAGTTTTATAAAGAATTGTGATCGGAGTCACAGAACAGTAACCACAGCAGCAAACAGTAGCAAAATACAGAAAATTATTATTGTTCCAGTTTTCAAAAACCGGCAGGATGTGATGGACACCACTTTCTTGGAATGACTTGAGGACATCTGTTCCTGCAGGATGGAGCCTTAATTTTGTCCTCAGTGAGCTTCCACAGATTCTCGACTGCATTAAGATAAAGACTCTGAGACAAGCGTCTCATTATTTTAACGTTATCAGGTTGAAGGGAGCGGTTTTAGCTGCTTTGTAGTGTGACAGAGTACATCATCGTCCATAAAAATTGCTGACTGATTGGAATCTAGGCAGGACAGGAAGAGTGTGTTGGTTAAGGAGCTTCTGATAAATGTGGAATTTATTGCTTCCTGTCTGGATAAACTAAATGAAACTGACTCTCATAACTAAAGTGATGTTTGGACCGGTTCTCTGTTGGCAAGATTTGGCCTAAACTAAGTTGATGACAGGCTTGGTCACTGGAAAACAGACTTTAAGTCTAAAATCTTGCAGGCAACAGTGGACTGTGTGCCAAGAATGAACTTGAATGCACTGTTTACCAGTGAATTTACAAGCATTCTGCATAATAACTGGTGTCAGTAAAGCTGAAATCATTTAAGAATTTGGCTCGTGCATCAACCAGCTTGTCTTGCAACTGCTGAAAAATTCATCCCTTCAGCCTGAAGCTGAACAACTGCCATCAACAACCACCAGCTCACCATTTTGCAGAATGCTTGCTGGCAGTTAAACAGTTTTGTGCTGCATTAAAAAAAACGAGGTCTTACTCCTCCCGTCCGGTGAAGGTATAGGAACGGATCCACGGGCTGGGGATGGAGATGCGGGGAGCAATGCTGAGTCCCGGCAGGTAGGCGGACAGGGAGCCCTCCAGCAGGTCGGGGCTCCCGCACGCTGCATATTCTGTCTTGCACACATACAGGCACTTGGCAAAGAAACACGTGTTGTTTGCTGTTTGGGAAGCAGAACAAAAACGGAAGAATGCAAAATGAGTTTTTCTGTTCACTTCCGATTACATGCTTTCCAATCAGCTCTGCCTTTCCCTCTAGCTGGATGCCATATCAACAGCAAGGAAAAACACAAACAAACATCAAACTGAGTAAAAAATAACTCGCGGATCAGCTTAGCTTCACGCAGACATGCTTGTTTGCAAAGATATGCAAAGGGCAGAGATAAACAAGCTCCCAATCAGATGCACAGCTACTGAGAAACACTATTCATGTGTCAATCAAGTATTTGAACTATTGTAAAGGAGTTTATATTTAACATACAGGCATAAGCGTTGAGTCTAATCTAAAGGTATTACTTTGAGGAACTGATGTGTTGTTTTTTTTACCCGGGGAGGTGAAGAACACAGCTCGTAGGTCTTCATTCTGGGTTACTTTTAGGACTTCACTAGTGATGTTCACCAGCCTGCCAACCACTGGAGGAACTCTCCGGAAGTCTAGGATCCTAGAAAATATATTGATGTGATTCAGAGGAAAACCTTTTACTCGTGTAGGGAGACAGCTCGTGCTGGCATAAATATTAATGCAGTGTAAACCTTCCAAAGGTGATGGTAGTCTTATCTAACTTTAAATCCTCATCTCACAGGAGCCCACGCTCCACTTTCACTGATTTTACTGATTCTTATCAGTGAATGAGTCCGCTTGACAGCCGCCGTGCTGTGTAATCCAGCTGGCTGTGTTCATATAAACTATCGAGAGCTTGTACTCCCCAGAGGCAGAGTTTTAGTCATGTCTCGCAAATAGTAATCAAACAACAATCAGCGTGTCATGCCGAATTGCTGTTTCTAAAATGGTTGGCATTCCCCAGCCCCTGATTGCGAATGATAATGATGAGGGCTTCTGGTAAGTGAGACACAACGAAGAGAGAGAGGCAACACACTGCCACAGATTACACACATAGCAAATTAAAATTTAAAAAAAGAAAACAGGAACAGGAGTTGTACAACATTCTCACTTTTTAAAGAATAACTGATAAAGTATGAGCAGATAAGGAGAAAAGGCACTGTTTGAGAGTAATTACAGTAATTGTTCGAGCTGTTGACGTGGTGCTGGAGTTGTTTTCTGTCTGTGACTTAACACTGTGTGTGTGTGGGTCTGTTAATGATACCGTCTACAGATGAGTGAATCACCTCGCCTCAGCTAATGTGTAATTGCATAAAGATAAGTGTGTCCTCATCTGTATCCAAACACTGTGGTTCGAACTGATCAGCAAGTTGGGAAATCTGAGGGTGTGCCAAAATGTTGCAATCTTTTTCGAGGCTCCATGATACATTCGCTTGCACAGGGGGACCTGTTTTTTTAGACTTAATTGTTGGAGACGGTTTGGGATTTTAAGGATGTTTTTGAATCTCGCTATTACAAGAATGCTGCCACATCGTCTCTGAGGATTCTTTAATTTCATCACTTTCTCTCTAAGACATAATGGATGGATCCATAAATCTAAAAATGGATTATTATTATAGGGTCTTGACCTTACAAAATCATAAGGGCCTTTAGATGACTGTTGTAGTGATTTGGCGCTATAGAAAAAAACTGAATTAAATTGGATTCATTTTTGGTCAATTTTAGGATTTTTGTTTTATACATTTTAGAAAGAGTTTCACAAAGTTTAGACCCGATCCTAACATCAGGATGTAAACTTCAGCATGGAAATGGAAAAATCTAAAATAAGAATTTTGTGAAAGGTCACTTGGGGCAAATTCTTTAATTTTCATCTGCATGTCTGCAATTTGGGTCAGCAAAACTGCCAGCCACAAATTGATACATGACACTTTGATGTTAACACCCACAGTTGTAGTTGCTAGACACATCTGCCAAGTGCTTCTTAGCTTATTCAAGTAACTAAAATGTACCTCTCGACCATGTTTGCAGTACCTTTTGGAGCATTTTTAATGCAAGTATATATTAATTAGCACTAATTAGCAAACATTTGTGTATGTGGATGCAGCTTGCTAGCCTAGCTAGCTAGCATTTGGGATAACTAAGAATTTTGTCACCTCCCTGAAATGCGATTTTTTTCTGGCTTCATAATAACAAAATTGAGCCTTTAGAATAGAAGTTAAAAAATGTGATGTCATGCATCCATCTTTTATATACAGTCTATCGTTGAGTGTCCAAATACTGTCATCTAACCATGCGGATTTTAAGCTTGTTTGTTTACTATATTCACATTCTTAGTGTAACCAATCACAAACCAAGGTGGAGCTTACCCCAGCTGTCTTAAGGTAAGAGGTGGGGTACATCCTGGCCAGTCTGTCACAGGGCAAACACAGACACTCACATTTACACCTATGGGCAATTTAGAACCACAAATTAACCTAACCCCACTAATAGCATGTTCTTTGGACTGTGGGAGGACGCTGAAGTACCCACACAGACATGGTGAGAATGTGGAAAGTCCACACAAAAAAGGCCATGGCCAGATGGTGGATTAAAACCCAGGAACTTCTTGGTGTGGGGCAACAGTGCAAATCATCGCACCACCATGCTGCCTGCTGTGATGACATCAGTCACTGAAGTTATTTAGAGGCACAGAGGTGGCAGAGCCTAGCTGGCATACAGCTAGAGGCAGGGTACACCACAGACAGATAGCCAGTCTATTGCAGTGTTTTGGAACTGCAATAGACTGGCTATCTGTCCACAGCTGTCACTCACATTCATACCTTCTGGCTATTTAGACTCACTAATTAACCTAACATGCAAGTCTTCTGACTGTGGGAGGAAGCTGGGGCTGGCTTTTGGTCATTTTTATGGGTTATAATGAAATCTGGATCAGATGTTATCGTTCCCCTCAAGAAATGAATTGGATAATTGACTAAGAAAAAAAGAAAATGAATCAAAGTGATAAATAAGCTTTTTTTCCTCCCATTTGGTCGCATTCGTCCTCCCCCCAAAAACAGTCATAGTACCTTTATATATACACAAGGACGTAACTGAGATCAATAAAATAACATGTGTGCAATCAACACTAAAATTAACCCCAGCAAGCAAAGCAGTCATATAACCACAGTGAGAGGACACTAAAATTACCCAGTCTAACAGCAATGACCGAGAAGACGTGAAAACAGTGAGGGATAATGAGGCTGCACCTGTCCAGATGAAAAGCAGCAATCTCTGCATTGTGTCTCTGGAGGTCAACGAAATAGAAGACGTCTTCTGGAGTCTCCTCGTCCCTCTGCTGCCTGACACACACACACAGACACACAAACTGTCAGTTCCAACACTCTGCAATATATAATCAAGACATTACAGGTGGCCAACTCGAGGCTTTTGACTGACATAAATTCACACAGAACATGACATAGACTGTGTACTGTAATAGCATGCTATGTTACCTAACTCAGCATTTCATGTTTTTGTGTGATTTCATTGATCTCACCAACTGAAAATAACCAACTAGATTTCCTCACCTCATTGGTTTAAACATGGCTTTAGCTAGGTTGCGCATTTTCAGGGCCAGTTTCAGGTGATGTCCGCTGGGCTTCACCACTGTGGAAAGACACACAGAAACATGATGTGTGGTGCGAGATCGAGACGTTTTTTTGTACCACAACATTTGCCCTACATGACTTCCACTCCACACTTATCTCAATGTTTTTGGCCAGGGAAAAGCAAACAGTGAGCAGCATGCAAACTGACTCATTATTTTAAGATTTTAGATTTGCAAAATGTGAATCATTGTCTGGCCTCGCCCAAGTAATATGATAATTGGATGCACCCTGCGCTTTCTCCGACTGGCTCCATATTGTGTCACAGCAGTAGTCCAGATCAGCACATACAAGCACCCCCCTCCCCACAGTGCTCAGTGAAACTCCAGGTTCTTAATAGTTAACAATCAAGCAAGGTTTATAATATAAAACCATTTCTGGAAATGACTTAACGCGAATCCAACTGGCACAAACAGCTTCTGTGGCCGATGAATTACATCGCTCTTTGGTGAGTGAAATAATGAGAAGGTTAAATTTAAACTGTGGGGGGTAGCGATTGTTTTGTTGCTTGTTTCTTCTTGGCAGTGAGTGATGTTTGTGTGGCCATGCACTTCCCTGCGCAGGGATGCTGACAAAGCACAGACGAGACAGGTCAGACAAGTCAGCGTGGAAGAAGAAGAAACGTAGCTGGGAGAAAAATTTGACATATAAAACCAATAATGAGCTACTTTTCCCCCTTAATGTTTACATTTCTACCTGCAACGCTTTTACAGCACTTACTTAGTGAACAGCTCAGTAGCATCTATTGTTTGGCACGTCACTAACTTTCAATTATCCATCCGTAGCTTTGGTTTGCGTGCTGCTCAGAAGTAAAGTAGGAGATGGCAGCGTAGGTGGTAAGAAACGCTGGCTTCCCTCGGCGCGTGCAGACATCAAACGCTTAATTAGGAGCTCTGCCTTTGAACGCAGACTAATTCCTGGGTTTTATTTGCCCCCAGAGCAAAGTGTCTTATACAGAAAGACAAATCTGGATTTTGGTGCCAATAGAAAAACCAAAAATCCTCACTATCACAAAGGCAACAGTGTGTTTGTCTCTCATGGTACTGCCAAGCAGAAAAGGCAGAGTGAGAGAGAGGCAGACAAACAAAAAGAGAAACAAAGAGGCTAGTGAGAAATTAGACTCATGCGGTTGCACAACATGAGATATGAGGTAAAGAAAATAAAAGCCCAAATCCCCGAATGGATAAAAGGCTCATTGCAGGTGGCAATGACGTTGTCATACCTTGGGTGCAATCACACGCTCCTTTTAGGGCTTTCTCATCTTGAGTGTAATCTGTAAGACAATGAACTTGTTAGGTAATAAATTAGCACACTTATTGCAGGGAATGTACCTGTCTAATTCCAGAAAAGTAATGGGTGCTAGATTTGCCATCTGCATAAAACGCTAGCTGAACAGTCCTTACTGTAAAAAACAGTCCTGTGCTGTAAAGGAGCTTTACAATACAATACAATCAGCTGTTTGGTTGCTCTTGTACTGATATTATATTATATCTTTCCTACATCTTTCCTATATTAACAGAAGCGTTTTTCATTGCATATTTATTCAATTATACTGCACTACATGTAAAATTCCACCCAGTTCACAAAATTAGACCCCATGAGGGATATGACAGTACAGCATAAACACAGGAAGCCGATAATCTTTCCCTGACATCATCGAGCTAGACGCTCCAAATCCCATCTGACCTTCACCTGCACTGATGACTGTCATGCTCTGCATGTCCTTGATAAGTTGAAGGACAGTAGGGTCATCACGGGAGTACAGAGCATAGCGGTTTATTCCCAGGTGGAACTTCAGCCAGCTGGTATCAGGGTCGTAGGTCACCTCATGATTAGTCACAGTGATGTTAGCCAGAGCCGCTGCCAGACTGTAGAGCTTCATATGTCTGAGGAAGACGAATAACACATAGGACAGATGTTAGCTGTGGGATACAGGATGCTGTCAACTCCCTATTATCAGAGCCCTAAATAAATGGTTAACATATGTAAACACATCAATTTTCTGTAAAGCCATTGTTAATCCTATGTTATTTAAAACAACAGAGTAGCTGATTTAAAGAGATGCTTACACTGAACCTAAGATGACATGCTTAAGAACTGCTGGTAGGGACTGACAGGCAGGTATCTGAGTGTTATTAATATGTATTAACTAGAATATTCACCATATAAAGCATGCTATTTATTTTGCTTTACCCTGCCTGTAGATGCTGCTTCCTCTGCATGCCACTTTGCAACCCAATCTTCTTTTGAAAAGAGTTGTCCTGACTGTATTAAATAATTATGGTTAGTATTTTATTTTGCATGGGCCACAGATTTGGAGCTGCATGCTTTGGTGCCAGGCTTTCCTGGCATAAAGTCACATTCAACAGGTTTTTTGGAGCTTGTCATACATTAAAGCAAAGGAAAGAAAAACATGTTGTGTTATAAAGTACTTGTTCTATTTACCACTTTACTCCTGCCTCCATTAGTCATTTATAGTCAGCCAAGTTTTATTAGTCTCTTATATACAGGCTTTTTACTGTTTCTAAATTGAGTTTTAACAAATCTAAACTGCCCAGCCCCCTTTCCCCTCCAAGTAGGAATAAGAATAAACTGATACCAAAAGAAATACTGTCTGTGGTAAGAGGGGCACCACATGACAAGGGCTGACCACAGTGAGTGGGATTGCCATTTCTCCACCCAAACAAACTCCATCACAGACCGGATAACAAAATGAGATAATGGAGCAAAGCGCTAAGAATAGAAGTTTGTTTTTCTGTCATTCCTACCACCTCATTCATTTAATTTGACGTGACACAGAGTAATCAGGCCGCTGGACAAGTGCAGACAGCAGAGCGTGTATCCAAACACACACTGTGGGAAACAGATAAGTCACGAATGCACACAACGAATGCAGTAGATGCGATGTTTAGACGCTGTTGCAATATTTTGCAATAACAAGCCTGTGAGCTGCCTTTTTTTTAGTGCACATTTGTAAGGCAGCACAGCGGGGAGATCCATTGCTCATAATTCTTCTTATTTTCCACTGTGAGAGCCCAATATCTATATCTCTCTGAGGGAGACAGACAGACAGCCTCACAAGCCAAGACGGCTACAACTCCCAAAGATTGAGATGGGCCCCGGCAGTTTTAAAAATCCTTGTTTACCTTAAAGAAACCGTTCCAGATGCTGGCTCTCAGAAGTGACGTGTTTGTCAGGGTTTTCTGACCCAGCCCACATGACACTGGAGTTTTTATGACGCACAGAATTGTCTACAGATCCGGATGTCTGTCTGTGGGTGTATGCCTGTCACCACGAACAAAGTGCATCCAAGTTCATGGATATGTGTTTGTGTGTGTGCCTCGGGTGGGTTTGGCCCCAGTGTCACTGACCCTGCCTCCTGACCACAGTCAAGCCTCAACACGTGCTACCACAGTGGGAACTCTGAGCCAAAACGAACACGCAATTTAACAATAAAGTGAAGTAACTCTGTCAAGTCACGCATTGCAAAATCAGTGGCATTATTGTCACAACAAACAATATCTTAATTTAGAATGATGAAACATGACACCAGAAACTGACCTTTCCCAGTGCGACACCTTCCTCCTATAGTAGTCAATCAGCTGTTCCACCTGCAGCAGTCTCTCTTCTGGCCCCAGAGCCGGAGTCTGGATGTTGTATAGAGGGTGAGAGAAAAGCCTCACCAGTTTTGAGCCTCCGTACGCAGGCTCAGACGTGGTGCCGTCCAGGAGTGGTGCAGAAGTCCAGTTGGAGAGCTGCGGCGTGGCCAGACCCCCCTGGCTGGGGGGGAGGGTGAGTTTGTTGGGGCCACATGAGCAGGAGTGTCCCGATGTCAGGCCCTTGCTCCGCATCTTTGGCAAGAGGATGAAGTAGAGGTCGGCGGAGAAGACTGCCGTGAGGGTCACAGCTAATAAGATGCGATCTCTTCTCATCATTGAAACAGAAAGAGGGGGGTATGGGGGGGGGCAAAGAAAGCTGAGCAACGTCCAGGCTATGTGCTGCTCGGGACTGTGTGAGGCATCACTTGTAGTCTCCCTCCAGTCTCGCACACACACACACACACACACACACACACAGTCAGCCAGGCAGAGGCAAGCAGTCACAGGTTGGTCCAAGTCTCTCTCTCTCTCTCTCTTTCTGTTCTCTATCTGTGTTTCAGTCTGTTTCTTCCAGCCTCACTTTTCCTCCTCCTCCTCCTCTCTTGGCAGCTACTGAAGAAAGTGCCGAGCTGAGAGCGAGCATGTGCTAGCAGCAGTCAGTGACAGTCTGGCTGCTTCCAGGGACCTGCTGCTCAGAGGAAGAGCGAGAGAGAGCGTGTGCAAGTGTACATATAAGCGAGAGAGAGAGAGAGAGAGAGAGAGAGAGAGAGAGAGAGAGAGAGAGAGAGAGTGAGAGAGAGAGGAGCATGTGGGTGTGCATGTGCAGGTATGTACACAAACATCAAATTACAGGTTAGCAGAGGGAGAGAGTGGCGAGTGCAGAGGGGGGTGCAGAAAACACAACTCTCACACACTCTTGGAGAGCAAAGTCCTCGGAAGCAACACAACGCACTTCTGCTTATTACAACAGATTTGAATAAAACCCCGTCCAGCTGGCGTGGCGGGTCTAAGGCAGTGCCAGCGCTTGTGTGCAGGTCCAGGTCCGGTTTTCATTATCGTGTGTTTAAGCTGGGCGCCATCCTGCGTGATTTCTGACAGGAAGATTTAAATCTGCATGTTTAAAATGCACAGGTGTAAAAATGAGTTAAGGTGGCGTGACTGTGTTATTTGCCTTGCCATCCTTTCTTTTTCTTTTTTTCCCCCAAGAGGGGTGTGGAGGAAAGTTTCCCTTCCTTATCTTATCTTCTTGTCTCCACCCTACTCCTCCTCATGAAGTCCACTTTCACTTCTTGTCAGAGCTCATTACGTCCTCTCATCTTCTCTTCATCGTCTGCGCTCCTTGCTCGTTTCTTTCTCTCTCCTTTTCTTCTTTATGTTGCCTCTATTTTTGCCTCCTTTTATGCTACAGACCTCCAGTCTGTCTCGCTCCAGGCAAAAACTCCCAGCTGCGCTTTCCTTCCTGCTGTAGTTCCCACACACGACTCCTTCACCTCTCTTGCCCTGAACCACACTGATACAAACGTTCCTAAAAGGCAGCGCAGGACGGGAAAAAAGAAGTTGTTGCACAACTTGAAATGAGGAAATGAAAAGAAATCCAATACCTCACTGTGTTAGGACACTTTTCCTTATTCTTTGTCTTCCTGATTCCTGACTCACAAAGTCTGCTTGTCGCTCACGTCAACCGTAAAAGCCCTAGGCAGCTTTATAGTGAAGCAATGTAAACCTCACAGGGCTTTTCCCAGCCTGCATCGGCACTGTTGTGGTATTTTGGAACATCTGTCGTCTGCTTGGCTGTATGTGTTTGTGTGTGTGTGGAATTCTGGCAAAGTGATGTGTTGATGTTTGGGAGCAGCTCTCCAGGGTGTTTTACCCTCTCAGAAGAGAAAGCAGGGCGAGAGAAGCTGTTGCTGATGTTGGAAATCAGTGACAGGAAGCTTTAACCTGCCAATTAGCCAGACTGTAGATGAGCTTTGCCACTACAACCACAGTTTCCTTTTTTTTTGGTCTTTTTTACGAGTCAAAGAAAAGGGGATGCTGTTGTCTAAAAGCAGACACAATACTATGCAAAAGTTTTGTGCCACCATTTCTAAAACCACTCATTCCTTTATGTTTTGCAAGGAAAATGAGAAATAGGTGCAACACAAACTTGCATGGGAATACAATATCTAAGGGAAAAATATAGTTTGTACAATTCTAACACTGAAAGCCAAGATTTGGCATGACTACATTTATTCTTCAACACAGCCTGAAGTCTCTCAGGCAGGCGTTCTTGTATTTTATGTCATGTTTCTTTTCTTTTCTTCACTGGTGATGTGCTTGGCATCATTGTCATGCTGAAAAACGAAGCCATTGCCAGTCAAGTGGTATTGCATGGTGGATCAAAATCTGATGGTACTTTTCCGATTCTATAATTCCATCAATTTTAACATCTCCACCACTGGCTGAGATAGAGCCCCAAACCACAACAGAGCCTCCGTCGTGTCTTAGAGATGGCTGCAGACACTCTGTTCTTGTGTAATTTGGCATCCCTCAGCCTTTTCTCCCCGTTTTCCTTCCTTAAAAATGGCTTCTTGACAGCCACCCTTCCACTGAGACCATTTCTGCTGAGTCTTCAATGAACAGTAGATGGATCAGCTGAAGGACCCGATGCCTCTCTCAGGGCCTGTGTCAGGCATTTGCTGGATTTGTTTTTCTATCTTTTAAGAACATGACTTTCAGATACTGTTAATCTGTAGATGTATTATAGGCCAGAAGTATGCAGAATTACAAGAAACATGAACTTGCACTGCCAGAACAGCCCTGACCCAGGAAAGCATGGACTCCATAAGACAAATGAATGTGTCTGGGTTTATTTGTATTCATACCACAGAAACTGCCCTGAAAACTCAACATTTGTGTTTTCTGCCACTACTTCTTTTGCCCTCCATTTCTCCAGTCTCCTCAAATTTTTTAAGAAGACACTGCACACCATGCTTTAAATCGTCTGCGAAGGTTCTGAGTCATCCAGGTCATCGTAGTCTAAGCAGCTTAGAGACCAAACAGCCACTTCACAAGCGCATGGCACAACATAGAAGAGCCACCTCCACGGGACAAGACTCAACAGTTCATCTGCATCTAAAGGACAAAGGACACTCTTTCGAGGATGCCAACGTTCACATTTTGGACAGAGAAGACAGATGGTTTGAAAGAGGAGTGAAAGAAGCCATCTATGTCCACTGTGAGCGACCATCTTTGAACAGAGGCGGTGGTTTACGACACCAACTGTCTGCCATCTATAATCCAGTTTTGAGATCCCTTCCCAGACGCCTTAACGCCCACTCACATCCTGGGCCATCTGACCTCAGGATATCACATGATAAGGTGGGGCCAGGTTTCACAATGAGCTCACCTGAAACCCTGGCTGATTGGGACCCACACCCACTTTCACACCTTGGCTCATGTGATTAGGTAGAGGATCATCAGGGGGTCCTTTGTCCCTCTTTGGGGGGAAACTCCCACTGGGTTTAAATCTGGGACTCTCCACCATTGACCCTTAGAACGGAAGAGGCTTCTCAGATGACAGGTGAAACGTCTTCAAGCAACTCAAAGAAGTCCATACGCTTCTTTCCAAGCTCCTTAGACTTGCTTTAAATCATTTTGTTGGTGTAATAATATTATTTTATGCTGATCAAACTCTTTTTATCTTTGACAATTTTTACAGAGTCAGGAAAAAAAAAGTTTTTTTATGCTTGAAATAAAAAAAATGAAAGTTACTCTGAAGATGGTCAGGTACTAGGACTCAACTGAAAATGAGTGAAAAAGCAGTCAATGTCCAAATAAAACCTTCGAAAGACTTTCAGAACATTTGGAGAACTATTGCTAAAAGCAACACCTCCTAAACAAATGAGAGTGGCTCAAGACTTTTGCACAGTATTGTATTTTTACATTACGTATTTGCGTAAAGAGTACAAGGAGAGGTCACATTTTTCATAACTGAATAAATCATCTATTTAAGTTTCTCCTGGTTGTACTTAACTTTTAAGGCAACAGTCTTACTGGACGCTTTCAAGGCAACAAAATGAAATTCAAGCCATATTTATGCTTTTATGCCAACGCATAAAAAAGACAGGAACGTTAAGTTGTAATGACTTAAAATCAAACCATCCGTGTTCATGAGCAGGCTGGAGATATTTCTGACAACACATTTGGTGGAGTTCACTCATGCACTGTTGACTTGAAGATGCTGGAGGGGGCAAAATGCTCTGCGGATGACTTGCCCTGTTTGTCCAAGCTGTGTCTGTTCGCATTTATCCCCGGGAAGCACACTAGGGAAGAAGCTCTGAGCATGCCTCCACCCCCGCTTGAACATCCATACCGGTACTTAAACTAACCCAGTTCTTCAATAACAGGAAAAGTGCGTGCAAAGATGTTTCAAAATTGAATGTATGAAGAAAACACATGAAAATAGGACATTGAGTCTTGTGTCACCAATTTCTGCAATTTAGCCAAACTGTGATGATAAGTACAGGGTGGCTTTTGTTGAGATAAAGCGATGCGATGGCTCTGATGTTTTCCTGTCTAGATGACTGTTTGGATGACCTAGAAGTATCATATCAGGAAGCTTCAAATTATCTGCAAAGAGCTGCAACAAGTCAGACAGCTAGACTTCATTTAAAACTACTTCAGATCTCTGTCCTTCCATAGTTATATATCATTTTTTTGCTATAGCTTAGCATAAAGTGGGGAATTACAGCGAAACAGCTCAGCTTTTTCCAAAGGTAACAAAATGCTAAGCATCCCACTATACTGTACAAAAGCACATCATTTCTTCATATTTTGCTAGGAAAATGGGAAATAGATACAAACACAAATGGAAATACAGTATAGTCATTTCCTGGGAGGACGACTCTAAGTTGCACCTACTCAAAAAACAAAAACAAGAATAGCACAGAGAACAATCCCACCCCAACCTC